GGAATAAAAAGCGAAGTGGCTTAATCGCCCTGAGGGGTTGAGTTTTCTGAGGAATGCCGCCGAGGCGCGGGCAGTGGCAGTCTCGGGAGTTGGACTATTAAAAAGCCATCAGAAGCATTACTTTCATTTGCCTGGTGGTGTGTCGAGTGACAAAATAAGAAGGCAGAAAAATGCATCACAATATAATGAACTCTCATTTCGCGATTCGAGTCTCACTCGCTTGTTTGCTTTTTTGCTGTGATTGAATTGTTTGCTAAATCTCCATCTCCCGCAACAATGAATTGTGAATGATGGTTTTTCACTGTTTTTTTTTCATTACACCTAATTCATTTTCCATGTAAATCACTTTGTTTTCATATCGCAGCCACTTTTTCGCCCCGACATCTTGAGACGCTTTCTATAAATTGTTAGTTAACAATTTTTTCTGACACGAAGAAAAGTCAATTAATTATTATTTTTTTTAGAGCTCAATGTTTTATTATAACCACTTATGTGAGTTTTTTTCGTGTGTACTTCTCTTGGGTGGTGTTTGTTAATTTTATGTGCTAGATTACAATTAAAACTCAGTCAATGTCGAATGTGAATTTCTCGAGGAGAGCCAAAGTGAGAGAGAGAGAAATAAGAGGCATTATAGATTGCAAAAGATTGGGCCAATAATACACAATGTAAGAAAATGAGAGCGGCAGAAAAGGTTAAATGCGGGAAGTGATGTACTTTTTCCTCAGCGCTCTGGTCAAATTGTGTGTTCTTATTTCAGCTAATAAGGCGTGTGTGTTTTGTGCTCTTTGTTGGAATTTTCCACATAATTTCATCTTCACGAAATGATTTTCAAGCAACGAAAAAATATCCCCATGAATGACCAGGAGAGAGAACACGATAGTTCTGTACAGTAAATGCTGGCGGAGGAGGCCAAGGGGGAGATAATACAGTCAGACTAATCATCCAGATTTCTTGGATTTCCTTCGGTTTTTTTTTTGCACAGAATCAATTAAACTTAAACATAACCTCAAAAATAGACATTTGAACATGGCAAATGTTCATTTAGGAAAATTTCTACATGATTTCGGCTGTAAATCAGCAATTTTTAATTCATTGGCAAATCATAACCATTTGATTTTGTTATCTAGAAAGCTACCAAACGAAGCTTTTTGAAGATCTCTTAGTTATATTTTTAGGTTATGGTGGGAAAAGATGTTCAAAAAAGTGTTTTTAAATAGATTTTTGCAGAAATATCGCATGGAAACTTAAGAGATTCATTATAGTTTGGAAATCGTGTGGAAACAGTGTAAAAACTTCAAGTTATAGAAGTGCTAAGCAATTTCGGAAGTGTTTATCTCCCCCTTGGCGGAGGCTTTTCATGCGCAAAAAGTGTTTGCTTTAGAGATACTGAAGGGATGGTATATTATGGAAGTGAAGGAATGTGCAAGCGAAAATGAGAATTGCAAGAAGTGACTCCCGTTAAAGAATCAAACAAGTGGAAGAGAATTCACGGAAGAGGGGAAAACTGTGGAAGATGATGAAAAAAAATTGAGCAATCAAGTGGCAAATTTGCGGTTTTTTCCCCATGTTTGTGTAGCCATAGAGGAAGAAGGTATTCGCGCGCGATGGTACGAAATTGCACAGCAGGTGAAGAAGAAGATGAACACAAAAAATCCACTGTGTGCTTTTCACAGGAGAAAAACAGCGCCCATCTTGGCGCATTTCTTGCACCGCCAGACAAGATGTGTTAGAGAGGAAAACACAATCGCCGCCACAATAATTTGAGAAGAATTTCCTCAGGTGAACTCTCCGCGGTAACAAGTAAGAGCTTGTATTTTTACCAGGAAATTTGCATATTAGAAAATATTGCTATTTCATAACAACTAAGCATGTGGAATTGCAAAAGCTCTCCTCGCCGCGGCCGCAGAGCGGCAATTCAGAGTCTTCGGGAGGTGTAACAATGCAGCGCGATACAAAAGAATATATGTAGAAGATCAAATCTCAAATCTAATTACTGGTGCTCTTTTTTTCCATCCACTTCTTTCCCTGCTTCGTCTCATTCCTCAGAGACTTCACCATTTAATCACGGTTGACTCTTGATTGTCGTCTTCTTCGGCTGTTATTGTGCACATTAAGAATAGCGCTGATACTGCGATTAAGTCAGCTTGATTATGGGGAACGATGATTTTTGCGGATGAACGGTTTAGTTGCTCATCGAATGGCGCCTTGAGGTCCGAAAGCGTCGAACGACAGGAATATTACATGGCAGAATGTCATAAGCTATTAAAGCTCCTCTTGTGCACACAAGTGATTGAACGGCGCGCTCTTTAGCATTTGCTGACTTTGCCGGTGTTTGCTTAAGGAGAAAATGCGAGGTGTGAAAATTTAGAGGTAAAAGAATGGTAATTTGGAATATTTCGAAGGTGTGATTTTGAATTGGAGGCACACAGAGACTGCAATATCAGTGGAGAATTATTGCTGAAGATCATGCTCTTGCGAGTGTGTGAATGGAGATGGAATTTATAATTCTCTTGCACGGATTTTCTAACTTTGGCGCATAATCTTGTTCACATGGAAGTGAATGATCTATTTCCATTTGAAGACATGAAACACAAGCACACACAAGAGCCTCTTCTCCTCTCTTTGGCAGAATGTGTGCGCAAGAGAAGTGCAACTTATGGATGGATATTTCTCAAGCCCCAGAGGAGATTTTTCTCTCTCTCTCTGCGAAGCCCCTTTTTTCCCGTCCACAGCGCATCTCTGTGGGCTATAAATGAAGAAGCTTATTGCTACCATCTCTATTATTATTTTCTATATATAAAAATTTTTATATCACAAACTGAGTATTGTGGCGAAAATTCTTAAGTATCTCGCGGGGAGAATCTCAAATAATGTGTGTATATATGTATGGCATTGTAAATTTCTTCGATGGGAGAAAAGAAGTGGATGGAATTGAGCAAGAAAAGAGAAGATGAAGGCAGGGAAAAAAGAGCTAATCGCGTACAAAGACAGTTGAACAACGTCGTCGCATTAAAATTCCACACAGGAGAATAGAAGTTAAAGAGTGCGCACAATTTCTTTCCACAGGGCTCTCTTATGTTATTATTTTTCAAACAAGCGAGATAGAAGTGGATAGATAACAAAAAAAAACGACACACCAAGACACAATGGACACATTATTTTTGTAAGATTTCTCGTGGATTCTCATCTTATATCGAATCGCGCGCACAGTTGAACAGGCAAAAAGAGGTGAAGTTTTATAATTAAGAAATATTTAGCTGTGCGAGAGAAGTTGATGCTGGAATGTTTCATTCTCTCTCTCTGGACACTTACAAAATGTACAGTTGAATTTAATCCATAGTCGACACCATGAGAGACTTTCTGAGAGCGCCTTTTTTGGCCACCTTGCTTCAGGTCAATTTGTTAATCCAGATGGAAAAGAATGGAGCGCAGAATTGGAGAGAAGCTATAATACCACTTCCAGCTGGGATTTGGTGTTGAGAAACACTACACAAGCACACACCTTCACTGACTATACTTTGTTGGATAAAATAACAAAATTACCAGTCGAGAGAGAGACACCAAAAATTGTGAGACGATGTCTGTTCAACTCAATGAAAGGCAAATATTCCGCCAAGTCTATAACTTTTCGAGGTGTTTTTCTCCCATGCGAAAGACTTTGTATTTTTAGCACTTTGGAAATTGGCTTTCCGCGCGCCTCTCCTTTTCAGCGTTCCGCAATCAACTGGTTGGCCTGTCTTGGGGGCACTAATAAGTCCACACTAGGCTGGATGGAAAGTAACTCGTCTATGAGCTGCCAATTGGCGAACAAGAGCGTGCTTGAGTGTCTTGTCTTAAGAGTCTCTGAGAGCGGCGAACCGCGAAAAGGTGTACTTCTTTCGTCAAATGCACCAGAGAAACTGACTCGCGAGGCTCAACACTTGGCCAGTGATCGTTACTCTTGTGCCTCTCATGTGGTGGCTTTCCAACGTCTTCGGCTCTTTCCACTCGCGTGCGCGCGCTTCTTACGCCCGAGAGAACCACATTCGCGGTGGGAGAAATGCCTCTCTATCTCTCTGCACTCTCTCTGACTGGAATGTCCAAAAAACCGCCTCTTCCCAGCAAACGTGGGAAGACAATAAGAACACTCCGCGAATGAGCAGTTCTTGGAAAGCCTAAAGGCTCTGTTTCTTCTCAGAAGCACACGGACAGAAATATCTAGCCTCTTTCTTTCCCAGAAACCAAATTGAATCATTTTGGCAAATTACGGAACATTAATTTGTCACGGTTGTACCTGAGAGTGTCGAGAGGACAAAAAGAAGGTATCCCAGAAGCAATTTTAAATGGCAAAATCAATTTCTTCTCGCACGAATTGTGCATTTTGTAGAGGGAAAAAGACGATTCTTCTACTCAATCGCCTACTTTAGGGCGTTTTTGGGGCAGTTATCTTAAGTTAAGAGGCATGAAAGATCTTCGAAAGAATTTGTATTTTCGCCATAAACATAAAATACAGTATATTTTCACTATATGCATACAAAATAAATATAAATGTAACAATGTTCATAACAAAGATACGTCTATAGGCTAAATTACAAATAATACACACTTTTGCACACATTTTCCTCACACAAATGATATTTTTAAATTATACTTTAAAAAAACTGGAGAAAACAGAGAGAATTTTCCTCAATTGTTCTTCACATTCAATCACAATCTTTTCAATCAAATAAATACAACATAAATAAATACCATTACAACCTATCTTAACAATCCCACTTAATTGCCAATTGATTTGAGCACTTTTTCCCAAAACATTCTCCCATCGAAAGTGATTAAAGAGTGTGCTAAAAATTGCAAGAAATGTCACAGTAAAATCCTATCCAGAAGTTTTATTTTCATGGGCTTCCGAGAGAGATAGATAGATTAGAATATCTTGTACATTTAACACATTGGAGCTTGATTGTCTTGTGAATTCACTCAATTGCCTCACCGCTAATGTTCTGACTTAAAACTATGCGCGTTCAATGGAGGCCCGTGACGCTCTGCAGCCAGGGCTTGTAGTAAGTGGTTCGCATGTAGACACCAGGAAGATAGGGAGCGGCGCACTTGATGCCGTGCGACACAGTTCCGGCCAATTCCCACCTGCCGTCCGGACGCTGGAGCACAAGAGGACCGCCGCTGTCGCCCTGAATCCAAGACAAAATTGTTATTAATCAGTCACAAATTCTATTCAGCGCAATTCCGTTGATAAAGCGGGACTTTTTCACTCTGAAATTCTTCTTCTAACTGTGTTGCGGAAGTTGTAAATTGGAATGTGTTGAATTCTCTTATTTTGCAAATTTCACTTGCTGATGCGCAATTATTAATGTTATTCTTCAGCGAGAAGATGAAAGTGCAGTGAGCGTTGTAAATCCCCGCCTTATCTCCGGAATTACCAGATTTGGCAAGTGTGAGACGTTTTATGGCATTCCAAAGTGGCTAATTATATTATCACTGTCAATTTGTCCTACATTTTACACTGAATGAATTCTAATTTCGCGCACATTCTCAGAGATTTCTTTTTTTCCGCCATACTCACTTAGAAAGTGTCTCATTTTATGAGCCAAAATTAGCGATATGGCTAATATAATGTCTTAATTAAGTAAGAGTTATCAATTCAACATGTTAATCAAAGTCGCTACCAAACAGCTTCTTTGGCACTCACTTCACACGAGTCCTTCTGGCCATTGGCGTAGCCGGCGCAGAGGAAAGACTTGAGGATCTTCTTGTTGTGTCCGGCAGTTTGGAACATCTCCTGGCACACGCTGTTATCGATGATGGGCACGTGGACTTCCTGGAGGACGGAAGGCACTCCGCCGCCGTACTTCAAGCGCCCCCATCCCGTCACCGTCGCCATTCGTCCCGTGAAGTCAGCATTGTCCGGAGGCATGCAAATTGGCACTGAAACAAGCACACAATGTGAGACTATCCATAGAATACGCGCTCTTCTGAGTCATTCTTACCAATGTGAGTGTCATAGTGAATGGGACTCTCAAGCTCGAGGATGGCCAAATCATTCTCGAAAGTCGCAGCATCGTACTGCCGATGGACGATGACTCTCTTCACGTTCTTCGTGACGGATCGCTTGGACTCCAGCTCGCCGGAAATGTCGTATTCTCCGAAAACAGCCACGAGAGATGCAAGGAACCTGCGGAAATTCGTAGTGAGTCCAATTATTAGCATTTATACTTAAGATTGTGCGGAGATTAACTCACCCTGGCTGGCAATGGGCTGCAGTGATTACGTAGCTGTTGGAGATCAACACTCCGCCACACTTGTTCTTCGTGAAGAGTCCCAACCATGTGGATTCACGCACCAACACTTGCCAAGGGAACTTGCCAAAGTGGGCACTCTTCCCACCCACAATCCTGCCACTCTTCACATGAGGCTGAACTCCGCATTCTGCCAAAGAGACGTGAGATTTATCCTCTACTTGAGTAAATTCTTAGATCAATTTCACTTACTTATTCTCCCATCGTCACTCGTCAGTGGCGTCGAGGTCTCTCCGTCCTGCTCCTCGCCAACATCCTCAGTGTCGTAGTCATCAGCAGACGTTGTGGAGGCGAAGGTGGTGGTCTTGATGCGCTTCGTGGGCTTGGTGGTCGGTCTGGGTGTGGTTGTGGTGACTTTCTGGGTAGGTTTCCTCGTTGTCGTTAGAATGGTTGTGGTTGTGGGCTTTCTGGTGGGTGGTCGACTGCTGGCCTGTCCTGGTCTTACTGTCGGCTTTCGCGTTGTCACGCCCGGACGAGCCACTCCAGCTCCTGTTGGTCTTGTCGTGGGCCTTCGACTTGGCACTGCCGGGAGAGGAGTTGTTGTCCTCTGCGGAGGCTTTGAGGCAGGCTTCTTCGATGGGGGCTTCTTCGAAGTAGATGCAGGCTTAGCCGTTGGTCTCTTCTGGATTCCAGTTGTGTTTCGCTCGAGCACAACATCTGCCAAACTATCAAAGTTGTTCTGAAGCGAGGCAACAATCTTGCTGACCAAGAGATCCATTTTATCCTTGAACTTCTGATCTTCGAGGAATGTGGGCGTGACGTATTCCACCTCATCTTCCTCTGCTGGGTAGTTTGCGGATGTGTTGAGATTGGGATTCCTCACAGGTGGGAAGTTGATCAATTCGTCTTGCGATGTGAGGTAATCTTCCTTGATTGTCGAGATGTCTGGATAGGCAAGAGTGGAACTGGCATAGACGGGATTCTTATCGTAGTTCGTGTGAGTTTGGATGTAATTGTAGATTCCGTCTGACTCCTCAGCGGTGTAGATTGCTGTTGACGAGACGGTGTTCTCGTATTGTGGTCGATAGAAGTCCGTGCTGAAGGTGACCGATGGTCCGTATGGCGATGTGGGTTGCTGGATGGGCCTCTTGGTGACGATGGGACTGTAGACGTAGGAGGTGCTGGGCGGCTTTGTTGGCCGAGACTGCTGGGGCCACGGAGAAGAGGAGCCCAGGGCGGGTTTGGGTGTGATCACGACCGTTGGCGAGGGCCTCTGAGTGACAGTGACTTGAGGATATGCTGCGCCTTCCTCGTCGTACACATTCTGCTGGATAGGCTTCGACTGGATGATCTGCTCGGGCGGCAGCGTTGAGCTGGACGGATCGAAGGGTCCCAGGACAATGACAGTGGGTGTTGTGCTGGACAGCAGACCCGGAGCAGACGTTGAGAACTTCTGGGGAATCGTGGAGACGGTGACACTCGTGGGTCTCTTGGTTGGCTGAGGCGAATAAACATAGCTTGTCGATGGAGGCTTTTGGGTATTCTTGGTGCCTCCGGTGCCTGGTCGCTTCGTTCCCTTCTTCGTAGTCGTGGAGCCTGGTCTGGGTGTAATTGCCGCAGTGCTGGAGACATAGCTCGTGGAGGGAGGCTTTTTCGTTGGCTTCTTGGGCTTCTGCGACGACGCGGGTTTTCCCGTTGATGCAGGGAGTTTGGAGGTGACGTAGAAGCTCGTCGGTCCGTACTTGTCTGTGTTGATCTCTGAGAAATTCTGTGGGAATCTCGTGGTGTAGAAAGTGGTTTCTCTGTCTTCCGGAGTCGATGCTGAATTGTACTGTGGTCCAGTGTTTGTCTCGTTGAGCATGAGAATGATGGACTCGATGGATTCCATGTCGTTCTCCCCAATTGTGGGCTTCACGCTGGGCTTGTCGTTGGAGATGGTGTGCACCAGGACGTACTTGTTGGGACTCGCTGTCGTTGGCTTTGGTTTGGGCTTGAATTCCAGCTTCGCGGGCGGATTCTTTGACGATGGCTTGGGTGTGCTGGACGGAATCATATTGCCGGCTGATGTGAAGTCGCTCGGCTTAGCGTAGCCACTGGTGTCGTCCTCCAGGAGATCGGCGTCTGCTCCTGGGTGTGTAATGTCACTGTGCGTGAACTGCGCGCCGTAGCTGCTGTCCAGCAGGCTGTTGGTGACGTGGCTCATCTGACTCAATGTGAAGTAGTCCGCAACGGAGGACTCCGTGGAGCTGAAGGGGGATGAGAGGCGCGTGGGAATCTCGGAGCTGTAGTAGCTCGGACTGGAGTGCATTGGCAAGTACATGTCGCCGATCTTCGTCGACGCTTGAGGTGGCGGAGTCGTGCTGGAAGTCACGGGCAGATACGTGGAGACCTTGTGGGCGGACGATGGGGAGGACACCACAACGGCCTCGTTGTTCACGTAGTAGTGACTCGTGAACTTCAGCGAGCTGTCTGTGGTCGGAGCTGGTCGGTCCTGCACCTTGATCTCATTGAAGTTGGGGAAGTTCCCGGGGTGGATGTGATTCCCGTAGGTCTCGTAGGACAGCGCCGCAGCGGTGTTGCTGACGGGTCGCTCGTCGAGCTCGTCTGTCGGCGGGGTGAGTGGCGTGTCCACGGTTCCCTGGAGCTGACAGCAAGTGCCAAAGAGAAATCTGTTCGGGAGAGGAGAGAATGGGAGAAAGTTGAGACGATGCGGAAGACTTTGATGTTCTAACGATTGAAAATCTTGCAACTCGATCAAAACTCACCCGTCCATGCAGGCACCGACAACTTGTCCCTGACGCTGTGTACACTCATGGTTGAACATGCAGATCGTGGGACCGTGTGCTCGAATATCATCTTTGGGCAGTGACTTGGATGGCTTGCAGAACTTCGGTGTGATTCTGTAGCCGCCGAACAATTTTCTCGACTCTGCAATGACATCAAGTGAAAAGACAATTGGTGCCTCTGTCTCTGGACTCTCTCTCGCGCGCCTTCTTTCTCTGCCCATTGGCAGCTGAGTCACGATGTGCCGGGGCCAGGTTCGTGGCTCATTGACTTCTGATTGTGACCCACAAACTATGGTCAATTTATTTCCCATTGCTTATTTAGCGTGCGGGCGGCCTGATGCTCGCGAAGAATTCACAAATTGCCGAGACGCGCTTCTAAACTGATTCTCTACGCGAAATGAAAATCTCCAACACGTGAATACCATGTGCAAGAAGGTGAAAGAAAGTCTGTGAGTGAATTTGTACTCAATCGACCCCAATTTACTTTTCAACTCCTTCTTTTTTTTGCATTTGCGCTCTCATGCCTAATCTTGTCTAATTAACCAATTACAGCCATTTATTTTGACTATTTTCTCCTCAATTGAGCAAAAATTGCGTGTGTTGGTCTCCTATTGAGCTTTTCTGGCTCTGCACTCGCTTTGAGAACAGATGAAATCTTCTCTTGAGGAGTGAAAAGTGGCCAAAGGAATTCCACAAGACGATGTTCCACATTTTTTTTCCCTCCAATGTGTGCAATTTGTCATGGCGGAAATTGATTCTCTTGCAAAATACCTTCGTGAGTAATGTTGATTTTAATTTAGTTTGGGAGAAAGAGAATTTCTCTTATCGCATCATGAGATTGACACAAAAGTGACACATTTCTCGCTTGCAAAAGATTTATGGCTTTTCAACACGATTACTGCAAAATTAAGAAGCAATTAATTGCAACACAGATTTTTTGGCATTGACTGGAGAGAAGATGTTTACTTTCTTTCGGATTCTGTCTCGAAATGAAAGTTACAATGGGTGAAATTTCTCGATCCTTATCGAAATTTATCTCATGCTGTTGTTGAGTTAATTTAAATATTTTGAATACCACATGCGCGCGCATGTTTGAATAGCTTTATCAAGCACGCTTTTCTGCAGAATGCACGATGAAGATCAGGTGCTGAAGGTTTAACAATTTTTGGGTCATTTATATCTACTTAATATGGACACTTTTGGCGTTTGTCATCGCGTTCTTATTCCCATAGCAAATAAAATGGTTTACAATGAATATCTTTGGATGGCATTATAAACAATTGCAAATGAGGCGTGAAGACCATTCTTCTTCTTGTTGTTCTCCCAGAACACACTTCCGCAAGACAATTGACGCGCTTGTGTTGCGAAATTTACACAAAAATTTCTTTCACAACTTTCATCTGAGACAATATTGACACTTGAGCCCATGGACAAATTCTGTCTTCGGGCTTTTCATCGAGGGAATTGAATTAAATTGGAATTTGTGGCGCACGTTCCACAGCGTGTGTGTGTCTTGTTACCACAAATATATACCTAACACTTTATTTATATTGCTACTGTGGCATAAAAATGTGATTTCAATTGACGGTATTATTGTCTGCAGCCGCATTTCTTCTCACGAGATGTGGTGAGATGATATCGCCAGAGGTGGCTTGTAAAATTCCACTAAAGAGTTACTTATATTGCATCCTAAATTCCCCCCATCAGAGATACTCATCAGTGTGTTTTCCAGCAGATTACCACGGAGGCTCTGGCAGGAAGTGAGGGCGCGATGAAAGTGGCGAAGGAACTCAAACGAAAGAGTTCAACACTGCAAGACTCTCTGTTATTGTCTTCAATTTCATGTCTTTGGCTATGCGTTCGGGGAAATGTGTTGGTGTCCCAGTTTAGACTGGCTGCTACTTAAGAATTCAGGACATAACGGGAATGAATTGATTGCACACACACCGGAGAGCGAGATACTTTGCATGTCTCTCTCTCTTCTTCAGCACTTCTTCGCCCAAGAGTCTCACTGTGTCGCGCGATGCTGGATGGCGCGAGTGAGCGAGATGCTGAGATGCTGTGCTGGTCAGTGATTCTGTGCGCTGATTGACAATACACGGACGGCGCGAGATTTCTCAATGGGACGACGACGACGTCCCAAAAGAGTGCAAGAGAAGGAGAAGAAAGCCATCTGTGGCGACATATGCAAGCCAACAATGCCGCGGTTGTAAGAATGAAGGGAAGTCATTGTGGGTGTTTGAGCTTTCCGGCTCAATTGATCGTCAAGAAGTTCTGCCAACACGTGTCTCTGGTCGCACGTCTGGGCGCACATGGAAGAAAGTGAAAAATTGGCCGGTTGAGGTCAGAAATAGTGATTTGCTGAACAAGAGTTTCTTGGGTGAAAAGAAATCTTCTTGCTGACCAAGAATGGACTGTGAAACAATTAAATGTTCTTACACACACACACTTTTTCTTATTGGGAATTAGGAGAGAAAGAGTATTAGAATGAAGTTGAGAATCACTGTTTTTTCGACAACCTCTCATTGCCAAACGAAAGTGTTTTTAACCTCTCATAATGATTCTGTGTGGTGAAGAGGAGTTAATGTTCTTTGAGAAAGTTTGTTGGGAAAGTTGATATGGTGATTGGAGAGATTTTTTCTTCTTTGGGAGCAAAGATGTCGTGTTATTTCTCAGAATTCTTCTCAGTTTCTAGAGAGACTTTGATAAAAAAAAATCACTTAATGCATCAAATTAAATTAAATCACTTCTTCTGAGAAGTTATTATGTGGTGAATGTTTTGCAATATCAAGATCTTCCTCTTGTCGCTAATTCAAATGGTATCACGTTTGGTCGTTAAAATCTTAGTAAATAAAGCGATCTGGATGATAATGAAGGAAATGTTGACACTGTCGCTAATTTCAATGCAAAAATGCTTAATCAGCTTTAATTTCCTTCTCTCCGATCATACGATGAAGACATTTTTACGTTCCACTTTCATTGGATATGCTTTGTGAAGAAGTTAATTGGTTTTATTTGTCTTGGGAAAAGCCACGATTTGCTGACTTTTTCCTGAGAAGCGTTAAATTGCTCTCGATTGATGCCACTTCCGGTCGTAATTCTGACAGAGATAATTCAATTATCAAATGTGCCAGACTTTTAACACCAATCACTGTCTCTCTCGTCCAGATTCTTAGAGCTAAAGTGTGTGTTTCATTGACGATGATCTCTTTTGCAGTTGACGCTCTGCGGCTGTTGAGACTGCCACTATTTATTGAGGACTCTGACTTCGTGGTGAATTCATTATCATACGCGTGGTGGAAGAGGCGCGCGAGAGAGAAAAAAATCTACCGATACGTAACGGGGTATTCAATAGAGGGAATTCACGAAATAATTGATGGGCAAATGTGCAGCGCAGAAGCTGAGCAATTGCCGATGAGATTCCTGTCACCCACGTGGGCTTCCGGCAGTGCTGGTGATGGAATGCTATTTGGACGAAAGTAAAATGACGAAATTCAATTGGTGTGAGACGGAAAGAGCGAAAGAGTCAATGGCTGAGAGTCGATGATATGTGTTCGGCCAAAGTCAATGAAGCAGGAAGAGAGATTGCGAGAGAAATGGTTGCATAATTTTCAATAATGGCAAAATACCGCACTTTCGCAAACACCACATTATCCTCCACGGCATAGTCAACATATCAGTGCACATTTATCAGGCGTTGAATGATGCTGATCAGTCCGGGAGAACGGATTAGAGGCAATTGCTGCCTCAGCATCATCATCATCATCAAACAGTAGCATGATAGAGGTGAAATGCTCTGTGATGCGTACAAAATAGACTTGAAAATATATTTCATTCCCCGCGCTCATTTGCAATCTCCACAATCTGCGCGATCTGCGCGCAATGTGTCTTATAATAGTGGCCGTTTTTTGCTGCTCTTTTCAGGAGTTTAGTGCCTGTGTGAACCTGTGTGTAGAAATCGAAAAAGACCACAGAGTCCGGGCGGCGAGAACATCGCGCCGAGTGGCTGCTGAGGGTCTCATTGCGGAGAGCGAGAGAATATATATCTTGTTGGACGAGATGAGGAAGAAGCAACCAATGTTTCTGCCGTGCGCTTGTGGACATACTATAAATTTTTTTCTTATACATCCACGCTAATACATTTTAACGGAATCCAGAGAAATGTTCCGTTCTCATATATTACTTGAATTATTGCAAAAGATACATTTATGATGCGATAGTTTCTCCCAGCAATTTGTCTCTCCACCACTCCTGAGAGTGCAGATTTTTCAATATAAGTTGCGCGAGTGGATGTTTTTTTCGGCCTATTCAGAGGTTGTTTTATGGGACTTTTTGCCGATAAACTCTGAGCATTACTGTTAAATTACTTATGATATATATTTCTCTCTCACACAAATTGGCCTTTAATCTTTTTCAGCAACACCCAGTAATCTCAATGTTGAGAAAGTGATGCAATTGGGTGAGATTTCGCGATGGTTTTTTGCTCTAGTCAGCGCGAAATCTGAATGATTATCATGCATAAGAAGCGAAAGATCGTTGATCTCGGAAATTGCGAATAATGATGAAAAGTGAATTATATTGAGGCCAATTGAAAATACAGTGATGCTGGGGCTATTAAGTCCACGAAAAATTTAATAAGCAAGTCAGTGTCCTAGAAAGAAATCAAGCGCAAAAGATCATGCGGGATTTCTTCTCTCTCTCGCGCTCGCGCGCGCCATCGAAATTGAAATCAAAGATATCGAATGATTACAATTGGCAAAATACAATTGGGTAAAAATTCCCGTGCAATGAAGCGAACGGGAAGTGAATATTTTTCAACAGGGCAAACTATTAATTGAATGTGAAATTTCACTAATTTTCTGCACAATTTGTCCGGTGGCAATTTTGGGGGCTCTACACAGAAACAATTAACCCAGAAGCCCCAAAAGTATTTTCTCCCACCGGCTGTCGTGTGAAATGGCATTGTCATTAAAACTTTTACTTATTTTGATCCACACTATAACGCCCGTTCCGTCAATGTAGATTTTCCCTTTGGTGCGCCTTCATGCCATGCCGTCTCTTTGCCCACAAGCTCTCAATGTCTTCAGCACGTGAAGCATATCGGGAACTTGTGGATTTGTTCCTATTTGTCTGATCTGTTTGTCTTGGCTCTCACCGCGCGCGCGCGGGGTCGTTTTTCACATTGAGCCACTATGTGGATCAAGAGTGGCAGAGAAGTTTTGAGATTAACACCGAAGAAGTGTGCTTTAGCATGGACGAATTTAACGATAAGACAGCATGAACACATGCAATGGATGAGACTTGGGTGGTGCGCTTTTCGTGCTATTGATTCACGATCTTTTACCACCTTTCGAGCCCGCCAATTGTGTGTGTTTGTGAGTGTGTCTTCAATCCATATTGCTCACCGGATGGGTAAAATGTGTGCCAAACTTCGAACAATTTTATGCTCCAAGGAATGCTAATGCATTACCGTTTTGACATAATTTATTATTTACTTATAGATTCAGTATATGATCGTTTATATAATCTCATCGACTGCCCACAGCTGAGGAGCATCAAGAAGAGAGATGATCTTCCACTGTGCGGCAGTTTCTTACCACGAGCACTGGAGACTGTACTTAATCCGTCGATTGGGATTGTGTTTTTGAGTAGAATTGTCATCAGAATCCACTTGGAGAACCACATTTTGGAAGCACCACACTTTTTTTTCTTTAACACTATTTCAAAGCGAAGGAATTGGGCCTAATATAAATGCAGAAATATGCTTTAAACTAGAGGTATTTATTGCTTAGATATGTTGGCCAAGAAGTTGATGAGAAGTATCAAAAAATTAGCATCTATAGTTCCACCAAAATATGACACACAAATTTCTACCCAACATCGCACTCACAGAGAAATTTGGGGCAAAATTCTCAGGTGGTGTGTCTATTGTACGTGTGTTATTGCACTCGTTAACAGTTTTCACGGATGCTCTTGACTGCCAATCACATAGCTTTCTTCCTGTGTCATCACCAACACCGTCCACTTTGACTTTCAGGTGGAAACATCTTTATAATCCGAGAGATGAGGACACTCTGGCACTGACTACTTGGCTGCTGATCTGCTCTCGCTCTGTTGTGTGGTACTCCAAAAGGCAAACAACCATCCACGGTGGATTTTCGAGTCCAACTGAAGACGCAGCAGCAACGAGCTCAGGCACTCTTTCATGCGCGCGCGAGGTGTTCTTCGTCGGGAAGACGCTTGGAGAGAAATGTGCAAGAGAGAGAGTCAGAGGAATGGGGAAGGGAGATGCTTGAGTGGCAGTGAAGTTGAGTCAAGGTAACGTCACACCATTTTTCAAGTTCATGCCACCTGTTGCATGGAGGCTCTTTTCGGCTCTCTGCACCGATTTATCTCTTATCGCTCTCTGTGTTCCCTGGAACAGGATGCTGGCGCGGGGGATTGCGTGGATGATCGTCTTAAGACTGGCAGCACGACTGGGCCGCTCATGCGGGCGCTGCTGCTCCGAAAATGGTTAGTTATGTGGCCCAATTCAGTCCAACTTGACCCATTGGAGGGCTTTCCTTCCTCCACACACTCACGCCGCGATCATTGATCTTGATCATCTCCACATATAGTCTTGAGGAGTGCAAAGAAGGTGGGAAATTCAAATTCTGACGAAGAATTTCTCCTAATTTAAAATGTACACCTGCCAGCGGCGCAACTCACACAATTATTAATTGACCACAAAATTATGATTGAGGAGTATTAATCAGAGGCGCGCTGCATGTGAAATGCAGAACGCGCCAGAGAATTGCGGGTTGTGTGCGCGCGCGCGCGTATTGTTTTAATCCAATTGGAATCGCGACTTACTTCTTCGCGGAGAAGTGCCTATGTGTCTGTATACTTATGTATTTTTTTCTTATTCGTGAAATTAGGCCACTGGTACACTTTATAGCGGTATTCAATGTATTAAGACACGACTCACAGACACCACAAACATCGTCATCAGCATCTTTTCGTTCTCTTTCTCTCTCTCCTTGTCTTTTGGGCTCTCCGGCATATCATCATTAGCCGATGAGGAGCAGTGGCTGAGATGGTTAACATGCAGCTTGAAAGACGATCAGTTGAAGAAGTTGGGCATCGGAAGCATTTTCATTTGGGTGGATCACGAGTGGGTGAAGATGGGAGGAGAACCTCTCAAGAGAGTGCGTCTTGAGATCGGGAAGATTGCTGCTCAATAACGTTTCGATAAACTGCTACTCTGCGTCCATGATTGGGCAATAAACAGAACTTATAGATTGAGGATTAGAGATTGTGGTAATTCAGACTGATTTCTTGTCCACTTGAGATTGATTGCAATCTCTAATCTGCTGTCTTTTCAGCTCGCATAAAACTTAATCCACTGGAGGTCTGTTTAATGCTTGGTTTATTGCGGTGGGCTTTTGATTGGAAGCATGAGTTGCCCAGCGAAAAGAATTCCTCGTCGGATTTGTAGGTGAATGTCAACTGTTTTGATAATTTATCATGGTGATCGTGGTCCATTGTTCGAAGTATGATTAATTTTGCCTTGAGATGCGGTAAGAAAAAAGAGGGCCTCTCATTTGGACGATTTCCAAGAGAATGACAATGGAAAATGATGTGGGGAAAGTCTATTTGAGAGAGATATTGCGGGCAAAGGAACATCTATTTAGTGCTCAAAGAGAAAAGAATACTTAACTTAAATGACACCAAAAGTGAGGTCAAATGTTGAGATTTATCTCTTTACGCTGATCTTCAACTTGACACAGTGGATTCTCGAAAGTCCCTCACGTGTCTCTCGATAGTGTTGCTTGCATTCATGGAAATAATAATCGGAATGGAGAACATGAGAGTTATGAAAATATTATGCTCACTTTTGTGTGTCACGCCGTGTCTGTGGATCAGTGTGTCCTGTGCAGAGAGATGCACTTGACGGTGGTATTCTTCTGCTTGATAATAGCTCAAGAATATTGTGGCTTTTCACCTTGAGATTCTCCACAATGAATATTCTTCTCCCCGTCAAATTCCCATGATTCTTCGCACTATGCAAATCATGAAGAAATATGGCATTTAGTGTATTCGCCGAGAGAGAGTAAATTGATGGCAAATGAGGAATAATTCTTCTATGTCTTGTGACACATAAAATTAATATGCGTCGCATGAAATTCACATATTAAAGTGTCTCTTCTCAATTGTGTGAATGTGGACAGAATGCCAGCTTTCCGCGACAGAGAGAGGATGAGGAGAATTGTCAGGGAAAAGAGAAAGAATTTCCGGAAACTTTTCACTTTTGTCATATCCAAACATTAGAAGAGGGCACCGTGTCAAAAGCGTCTAAGGCACATGTTTCACCATTTTTCTTTTTCGGTGAGCTCAGAGAGAAAATGGCAAGTTGAAATACTCTTCCCAATATTTTTCTATGTCTCGTTCTAGTTTCCATCATCAAATTAATATCCAACAATGATCCATGCGAAGCTGAAGCTCAGTGTGTAGAATTTAATGGTTTAACTCACGAGCTTGTGGTTTTGCTTTCATATATTATGTGAGAAAAAATTGTACTTATATAGGAGAGAAAGATCTCTATATCGCTCTCAAAGTACTCTTGGATAAATTGTGCTATGAGTTTTACTACCGTAGTTTAAGAGGTGTAGGGTAATTCGAGTGTAAATTATTGCTGTATAATCATAATTATAGTGGAGATGTCTTTTAACGTATGAATTGTTTGATGAAATATTTATATTATTACTTTTAATTAGTTCCTGTTGATGAAATGATCTACATTTGCGCTCAATTTTTTTTTATCATTCCAATTAATATGCAAACTAAACATCCGCGCAATTTTACCACTCAATTGCCCAGGTGATGAGAATCTGCTCACATTTTCCCTGCTCAATCAAAATTCGACTTCGCCAATTTCTCATCATCACTTTGAATATTCCAAATTGACGATCTGGTAATCGATGTAATTGGGCATCCAATCCAAAGTGAAATCAGCTCTTTCTCTCTCTTTAATTGTCCCCTTCATTCCGCATTTCAGGGCGATCTGGTGATGAGGAATTTATGATGCATTTCGCCCTGAAAATATTGCTCGTGACCCTGAAAAGATTAGAGAAAAATTTGTCGATGCTTTATTATGGAGGAAGAAGAAGAAGGAGGAGGAAAGAGTTTTATGAGAAATTTCTCACCTCTGAAGAGAATTGAGGCAATGAAATTGATGTGTTGTGTGTGAAGTTGATGAAACTCCCAACTAATTTGCCATGCTTTCCAATACATGATGAGCTTTCAAAGAATTGGATGCGGAGAGAAGGCATATATAAAAGAAGTCTCAACGATGTGATGTTTGCTTGTGCAGAAATTGTAAGAATTGATTTGTGAATTTGCCTTTGAATAACGTCTCTATTATCTCCCATAAAGTGTTACTTTCTTAACCACCCAAAGGCTCCCACTATGCTAATATTGAAATTAAAAACGCCCATATTGTGTTTATGGTGGAAATTATGCGTGGAACGAATTCAAATGGATGCTCGATGCGATGGCGCTGCGGAATAGTGGGTTAAAAAACATCTCTTCTCTCACTCTCCTGGGAGAAAAAGACACCTTTTGCATAATAAATTATGATCTACATACATTTTTATGCGCAATCAAAAACCATTCTTCGCATGCTTAATTTGCCTTTCATTATTTTTATGACAGGCAAATGGAGAAAGACATCTTCATCAGGTGTAATTTAGCTCGTTTTTTGGAGGCGTTCTTTTTTGGCTTCATTCTAAAATCGAAAGTTCCTTGCGAAAGTGGCAAAAGAAGTGCGGTTTTAACCTCGATCTCTGAGGTTTTTTTTTTTAATGTAAGTCGAGTAAATAAATTTAAGACTTAATTTCTATTTAGACAGAAATTATTTAGCGATTTTAACTCCTTTTGGAAAATGTACAAATATTTATGCTCTCTGAGTACTGCTCTCTGATACTTGACTCACAGTCTTCAACAGCAATTTTTCTCACATTTTATTGTTTTATAAGACTCCACCTTTGATGATCTGTGCCATTTCTTTTCTCCTCTCTCAGCAAATTAAGGAGAATTTGTTGTACATGAATTTCACTAAAAGATTCATGAAATATATTCCCAGAGTACAAAGGGGAATTAAAAAGTAACTAGAATGGTTAATGATTGTTGCATGTTGGACGCTGTGAGTTGATTTTTCGTCCAAAATCACAATTTGAGAGCAAACTCGACAACATATGCGCGCGTACATGTTCTCATTGTCTATTTAATTTCACGTCTTCTCCAAGCGACGCACTTTATAAATATTACCCAGAAACCTAGTTATGATATTTTCCTTAATTCTTTCATTCATTCCAAAAATCACCAATTCGTTTAGTCAATGATCGTGTCTTCTGACATTTCCGGAATTCAAAACTTGGCGGAGAGGAGAAGAAAAAAACACACAGCAGCGTTGTTTGTGGAATATTTTGGAATTTTGATGCAATTTCTTCGAAAATTAATTGGAGCGACCTCTGCGTGTGTGACCTTATTTGGGTCATTCGCCTTGGGAAAGTAAATGGTATTGAACTTGTATCGAGACTCTCGTATTGATTAAATTATTTGTTGTGTAACAATAAGCACGGGAAATGCATCATTTAACATAACAAATTACACGATCTTGCGTGGCACTTTCTTTTCTCTCTCTCTTTCACTCACATTTGCTGACGCACTTATTGAGGGCTCTTTTTTTTATTTGTTTGTCCCAGCAGGATTTTAGTTCTCTCAACCCAATTATCCAATTTCGATTGGCGCTGATAATAAAAGAAAACAAAGAATTTCTAAACAAATGTAAATTTCTCTGTGACGATCGCGCTTCCCACTTTTTTTCTCGGTCAACAGATCATTTTATTACCTTCATGGATATTTATTAGTGACTTTCGTGCAAATAAGGTGACGCACGTCCTGAGAAAATTAAAATAAAATGATATCTTTTGTGCTGTTGCGGGAGAGAAGAAAGAAAGTGAGTTGTTCGAATGCGTGTTTATTCAACGGCATTTTCTCATTTGATCTCGATTGCGATCGAGAAGAAGTGCCGAAAGGTAGGCAAAATGGCTGAGGAAATGCGATATTTTCTCAGCGTGCTGAAGAAGGCGGAATTGATATTTTGCAAGCAACACTGTTTCTTGCCTGATTCACGATCTGTGTCATGTCAATAGAGGGAGATATGTTTTGAAAGATCACTCATAGGCAGGTATTTACTGAAAATATTTGCTGTTTTGCAAGCAATTTTGTTAATTTTTACTTTCAAACGGCGAACTTTTGACTGCGATTGGAGGAAAAAGTCGCGTTTATTCTGTGCCAAAGAGTTGGAGAGCAAGAAGTGTTGAATTGTAAGAAGTGGAATAGAGAATAAAAAAAACAAGTTTGAGAGGAGGAAATATCGAGAGGAAGGGAAAATTGAGAAAAATTAAATGACCAGAGATGGTTTGTTTTTTTCTTGTGTCTTTTTTTGAAAAAGAGTCACAATAATGTTTATTCTGAGATTTTTTTCTTACACCATTTCTTTATCTCTACACATATATTTTGTTCGATCATCGTGTTATTTACATTGAAAGGGTGGAAAAGGATGGAGTATTTAAATGGCCGAGAGCAACCAATCTGATATTCGTGCTGTCGATTCTTCTCTCTTCAAGTGTATAATTTTATTTATGGATTTATACTCCAGAGTGGAAGGAAGTCAATGGAGGAGAATAAATAATAAAAGTATAAATAATTTATTTATAAATTTATCATCTCGTGAGATGAGAATTTAACATTATATACTTGCTGTTTAATTGCGAATAACTTAATCACTGTTTTTTTTTTCTTCTTGTCTCCCCTACTTAAACTTCTCTCTTTTTTTCCTTTCATCTATGATTTTGTTTATTTGCAAAAATGATTCTCCAACAAAAGATTCATTTTGGTTTTATCCATTCACACACATTTTAGTTCGCTTCCTTCTCTTCTTTTTTTTCGTTTAACACTTATTTACACACTAAATGTCATTTGAATTTAAATAATTGAAATATCTTTTTTCTTTATATTCTCCCATTTTGTTGATGGAAAAACCACAATTAGAATTATCATCTACTTTGAACAAATAAATTTTTATAAAAATTGATTTAACAATTACTAACTGCAGAATTGTTTGCAATTGTCACTAAAATTTACTGCCTTTTCGCTCAATTTGTTCAGCATTTTCCGCCACGGAAAACTGCGAAGCACACGCATCACTTGAAACACTGAGTGTCGGACAAGAATTATTATTATTCACATTGGCGCGCGCGAGACTCTCTTGGAGGTCGCTCAGAATTGGAGAATCTGATTGATCCAGTCCCGGAACTCGGAGATGCGCGTGTAAACGCCGGGCTGATTGGGCTCCGCGCATCCGATGCCCCACGATATGACGCCGGCCAGCTGGAAGCGCTTGTCGTGACGCTGAATGACCATCGGACCGCCGGAGTCACCTGAAAAGATTGCAATTTGTCGTGTCAATTAGGCGGCAGTTAAAGTGCGCGGATATTTTTATGTGACAGGCTCAAGTATTTTCACGTCTCTTCACCTTCGCAGGAGTCAAAGCCGCCGTTCTTCCAGCCGGCGCAGATGAATATGTGGGGAATCTTCTCGCTGAAGCCCGCTCTCTTGTACATTGCCTCACAAATGGTGTTCTCTATCACAGGCACGGTGACTTCTTGCAGGACACTGGGCAGAGGGCCATCTGTGGAAGCGGTGGGAAGTGTTGAGCAAAATCATGATTGTTTGGCAATATTAATGGCAATCGCAGTTTATTGCCGAATAAGAGAGTTAAAAGGCGTTTCAAAACGTTAAGCCGCTCTCTTGCCATGGAGCAAAATGAGTTTTTTGGTATACAATTAACCGCAGAGCTTATGTCTTTTTATGGGTTTTCTTGTAGCACAGTTTGTTTGTACACGAGATCGCAATCTTGGGTGGTTTAATAGCCTTCAAACGTTGCGCTGCAAAACTAATCTGGGAAGATTTGTGGCTCTTTATCTAAACTACATGATTAATTCACACATAATGATGATAGAGCTTTTGTTGTTTGTGGTCAGGAAAACGTGTTTTAATTGATAAGGCAAAAGTTGAAAAAGCTTCAGAAAGAGTTCTGCAAGGTGAATACACTCTAATATCGACTTTTTTTCCTCACCTTCATACAGTCTTCCCCAGCCCGTCACGTAAGCTGTTCTCCCGATGAAGCTCTCGTCGGAATCTGGAACGCAGACAGGAATGATGTTGGGCTGGAAGATCACCGGTTCGTAGAATCTGCAGCGAGAAAGGAGATGTTAAGCAATGATTGCGATCAAGAGGAATTGAAAGGGTGATTTACCTGAGGAGGGCAAGATCGTACTCGAAATTGTGAGGATTGAATTGAGGATGCGAGGCCACAATCTGCACACGGCGCTCCTGATATCCGTACGGCTCTTCCTCCTCAGCCAAATCATACTCGCCCAGTCGCAGGAGCAGATCTGACGGTGGAACACTGAAAGACAGCCAGAAAAGGTGAGTTAATGTCGTCTCGTCAGTGTGAGACTCTGAAAATCCCAGATTACGCGCGTGCTTCACTAATTTTTTGCTGGTCTGCCGCTGAGTTGAGAGACACCTCAAATATTTACCCGGGCAGGTTTTTGCCTCTTTCTTCCCTTCTCTTCACTCTCCTCTCTGGAAGCAATGGCGCGCTTCTGGTGGTTGTCTGGTCATAAGATGCTAAATAACTTGTTGAAATTACACTCACTTGTCAACACAATGAGCCGCTGTGATTGCCCAATTCTCATTGAGCAGCGCCGCTCCACATTTGTGCAAATAGGTCGATGTTCGCCACTGTCTCAGTGATATTTGCCATGGCCATCGTCCAAATGCCGCCTTTGTGCCACCGACAATCCGTGGCTCCGGAAACATGCGCTTCCCGCAGACTGCCAGCGCCAGCAGAGTCGCGTTGATCACAGAGGGATGCATTTCGCAAGGGGCCACACGCGAAGGATGCCGGGAAGAGAGAGAGAGAGAAAATTCGCTGAAAACACTTAGGCACACACGCGCGGAATTTTCATGTGAGGCGCGCCGAATGGAAAAGTGGTGTGTCTCCCACTGTTGGAATGCGCGCCGGCAGATTGTTTGAAAAATGATACGCGCGAGTGTCGCGAATATAGTCAGACTTCTGCGACGAGGGCTGGTAGTAAGATCATCAGCGGGCGCGCGAGTGAGCCGACTTGGCTCAGCGGCGGTGTGCGCGGTGAGGTGGAAAAGACGTTAAATCTCGTTCGACCACTTTGAAGGAGATGCCCGCAAAAATGGGATTTTTTACCCTTTTCGTTCTTATTGTTCAAGATTCTGGAGCTCTTTTTTCCCCCGCGCGCGCGCGAGAGACTCCATCAACATCTGAGATCAACACTCCAAACTTCCATTATTTTGTATTTCTCTCGCTCTCTGTGCTTCTCCATCATCTCATGGGTGTAATTACCCACGATCTCGGTGATGTACGGTGTGTGTGAGCGATAAAAAATGTGGGAACAATAATTTCACTTGATCGAATTGTCTTGACCAAGATTCATCCGATTGTCTTGACCGAGGATCAGAGTTAAAAGACACCCAGACTACAGATGAAGGATGGGAGATGATCCTAAGTCTGCCTGACAGATTTTTGGACTTGAAATCAGACATTTCTAGGTCAGTAACAGTTAGAAAAGATCTTCTAGCTCTAATTTAGAAGACTTTGAAGCAAAATCTTTAAATAATTTAACTTTTTTTAGGTTAGAGTGGAAGAAAAAGCTCAATAGAGTTATTTTCAATGCAATTTTACAGAATTATGTAATGAAAACTTAAGATATTCTTAAGAATCTAAGAATTAAACTTGTCAAGAAGTTGTGTACAGATTTTCTTTCAATCAATACACAATCCTATCTTTAATGTGTTCCGCGAGATCTTTTCAACTCTGATGCCCAATCCCCCTGTAACGAGTTGTGACCTTATCTTCCGTCGTGACTTAGATCTGAACTTACTCAGTCTGTAGTCGATTCCCTCCATCATGGGCGTTGTTGTTTCTGTTGTGCCATTCTGGGCCACATCTCCAGCTGTCGTCTGCGCGCTGGTCTGCTCAGTAGCATTCCCAATCGTAACTCCGGTAGTTGAAGATGCCGTTGTGTCCTCGGCTGTTGTCGCGTTGATCGCTTCTGTGATTGCTGCTGGAGTTGCTTCCGAAGATGATTCCACGGGGATTGTCTGCAGTGGTATCCAACCCTCAGTTGTGCTCTCCGTCTTGTTCCTCTCACTCTCATCAATGTTGTTAGTCCATGTCACCAAACCAGAAGCCATTGTAGTCGTCTCCGCCTTGGTCGCATTTTCGACAGCAGCAGAAGTTGATGTTAACGTTGATGTTGATGTCGATGTTGATAACACTTCTGACTGGGTGACTGGAGATTCTACTCCACTTGTACTACTTTGAATTTCTACCTCTTCCACAGCAATCGTCGACGGTGGAACGATTGCGATGGAGGATGTTGGCTTGGGTTTCGGTCGAGGAGCTTTCGTTGTCTCAACAAAGCTCAATGTTGTCAATGGTTTCTCCTCCTCGTCCGTTCCTGGAGTGCTCTTAACAGTTGTCACTGTTGTTGGCTTCGCTGTTGTTTGCACCGTGGTTGTTGTTATCACTTTCTTCGTCGTGCTTTCGGTCGTTGTTGTGGACAATGTTGTTGGCAACGTTGTCGTGCTGGGAGTGGTTGTCGTTGTCTTTTTTCTCGTTGGAATGATCGCCGCCAAGGTTGTGCTCTCCGTTGTGGGCTTCCTCGTGGGCTTCTTCGTGATTGTCGTCGCATTTGCGACAGGCGTCGTCGGTCGCCTTGTGGGCTTAGGGCGACTACTAGGTGACGCGGGAGGCTTCTTCGTCGATGACGGTCGCTTCACATTCGTGGGCTTTGGCTTGGGTTTGGGACTATGAGTTGACTTCACCGTTGTGCTGGTCGTCGTTGGCTGCTGCGTTGTCGTCCTGCGTGTGGGATATCGCGTGCTGTGGGTGGTTGTGGTGACTCTAGGCGTGGTCACTTCTTCCACCGGCGCCTTCGTGACATCCTCCACGGACTGGAATGTGGACAGCTTGACATTCTCCGGCGTGGTGGTGGCGGCAGGAGTTGATGACGTGAATCTCGTTTCTTCTAACGGTGCGCTCGATGTGCTGGGCTCGGTGGCCAGCGAAGAGGGCACCGGCGATGGTGTTGTGGTGGCTGAGGATGAGGATGGTGGAGATGGAGAGGAGGAAGATAGGCTAATAACATCATAATTGGTCGTATAATGATGATGAAGTGCTGGAACGCTACTCTCTGACGATAAATTGTGACTAGTGGTGGCTGATATGGTGGAGACCGGTATCAGTGGTCGCTCTGTTCTCTCTGGCGTCTCACCCTCGGTGGACGGTTTCAGCGTGCCACCCGTTGGGCGTGTTTGTTGATGTAGAAAGTGAGAAATGGTATTCTCATCTATGCTATTGTCACTTATTTCTGGCTCCACCAGCAGTTGATCGTCCTGCAAGATAGAGAATGCATTTTCCATTAGACTTGAGAATCTCTGCTCCATAAGTGATAAACTCTGCATGAATTATTCTAATTGCAATAAAATACCACTATGCTGCTCTTTTACAGGGGGGAGAATTAACTTTTATGTGGCATTTAGAGAGTGAAGAAGGTAGAAATGTAAATAATACGCGCGGTTTTCTCTGGTCATTTTTTCTGCTGCATGATTTTCCTTTCAAGCTCGTGCACTTGTGGGAAAATCTTGCATTTTGAAACGATCCAAAGCACAATCCGTTGTCTGAGTGTTTTTTTTTTCTTGTGCTCAAAGACGCTCTTTCATACCTTTATATGACAGCACGATCCGAAGTAGAATCTGTCGATGCAGGTGCCAAGATGTGTGCCATTGGACTTGAGACAATCGATGGCAAACATGCAAATTCCCTCTTCGCCGGATCGTCGAATTTTGCACGGTAGATGCCGGATGTTGCGACCCGATTGATCTTCATTAGGGAAGCGATTGTCGGGCATGGAAAAAAAGCAGAGAAGTAGAGAGAAAATTGATGATTAGTTCCCAGAGATAATATTCTAATGGGTTTCTCCGGTGAGAGAGGAGGAAGTCCGCTGGGTCAGTGCGTGGAGTTCAATGTGGCGATGTGAGAGAGTGAGAGAGAAAGAGGGGAATATTTGGGTCTGCGCACTCATTTGCGTACGTGCGTCAATTTGGCTGTGCTCCTCTTCTTTTCGGGGTCTCTTTTGTGTGGCCATCGGGATGAGTTACTTCGGCGGGTGTCAATGTCAACACAGTCTTTGCTGACCTCAATCTCTTGTAACACACTGAACTGCCACACACTCTGTGTCAATATTGTGAGGAGAGCGGACAAGTTGGGATATATTTTGGATGCTCCACACGATTTTGCCATATTTCTTTTCGGAATACGCATCGTTAGAAGAGATAATTTTGACTCTGTGATGGACGGAAATTTCGTGTGGAAAATGATGAAGGGAAAATTACTGGAAGAATTGTATGAGAACACGAAGCAAAGTGTATATATATTGTATCTGACCATCAGAGATGGTTTGATGATGATGTTCTCGTAACGGGATATTGGGTGAGTTCTTGTGGAAGATCGCAACTGAATCCGCGCGCGAGGCTCGGGAAGCAAACGCCACGATCTTCTCCCAGAGAATATGTAACAAAATTATACATATAAAGCGAGAAGAAATATGAGGAGCATATTGACCACATAGCCTCAACATTGCGATGGAACCGAAAATATTACGAGGTGCTTTTTTCTGGTCTTTCTTTCTTTGACGATTGAATAGGGTCAAGGATGTTCCTATTGAACATGTTAATTAATTTCTTTTCCTCTCCTCTATATACCATCATTCTTGTGGGCTCGCTTTTTTCAACCTCATTCTCTTGGCGCACATCTCCGTGGATTCTATACAGACCATCAGCCGGGAGATTCTTTGGATGACGTGAGAATGTTCTATTTTCAGACAAAGTGAAAAGAATCACGTCTGCCTGATCACCTGTGCCCTTCACTCAATTAGGTAATCGCTGTTAATTTTCAGCTCAATCTCTGACCTCTTGTTTTTCTCTCTGCATTGAATTTCAGCAGAGTGACGAGATTCTCATACAATTTGACTAATTTCAGTCAATTTGTATTCGTGCTGGAGAAGCAAAATCACATGGAGATTAAGTCTAAGACACTGAAAAGCGCTTCAGAATGAAGAAAGTGTCTTTTGTAAGAATCTCACTGCTCCGGCATTGCTCAAATGCGGACCCTCGCGACCGAGAATGTGTGTCAATGTGCGGTTTTAGTGACTGTCTTTTTGAGCATGTCTCTCTCTGTCTTTCGCGCCATCTTACAGATCACGAGTCAAATATGCGGATATTTTGCTGATAAAAATCCCCCAGAAGAGTCACGTGGTGACTGAGAGTTGTGGCGGAATTAGTGAAATGACTTGCACACCCATAATTGTGGCTTTTGTCACAATGCAGCGCCGCGGAGAAATGGGTTAAACGTCTTATATTCCTACTTCCATCAATCTTCTTATGGTGTTGTGTCGCACAGAGAGAGAGCGAAATGAGCACGTTGTCGATGAACGGAGGCGCGAAAGTTTCTGCGCATTTTTCCACCTATGATTCACGGAAGAAACACCTACAGTTTTGGGTGGCGAATGAAAGTTCTCAAATTACACCTCATGGATAGTGTCATCTTCTTATACTTACAGTGTGACAAGTGGTGAGAATTCTTCAGATATACTGGTGAGGAATGGCAAGTCGCCATGGATGTGAGAATGAGAATTGTCCAGAGACTCGAGCGACTCCATTGTCTCCACTGGGATCTTCCTCCTCGCTGTGTCGCCTCGTTCATCTGAGCGGAGAGAGAGAGAGAGAGAAAAAAGAGAGAACAAGAGAGGTAAGTGAATGTGTCAAAACTCATCACAACAGCTCCATGATTAACGTATAAATTAAGGGGGAAAAAAAAGCTATTGCGCGAAAATTGTGAGACATTGACCCAAGACACCGCGATTGAATCATCAAGAGAGATCAGTGGAGTTTTTGTTCCTCTGATTAAATTTGAATTTACACAAGCGCGCGCGCGCCCAACAATTGGGTGATTGGGCGAAGGAGGAATCAGACAAGCGAGATGCGCAAAATGCGCGTAAAAGATGAATAAGACATTTTACAATGGCTTGTAAATCTTGAGGGATGGATTGTGTGTGCGAGACAAGATAATCATAATTCCGCCCTCATGTCCAGTGCAAAGCGATCCTTTTGCCTTAACAGAGAGAAGAAAAAAACGATAAACATACGCTAAAGTGTTCCAGGGGCAATTTAAGTAAAACTTGCTGGCTTCTTCTCCTCCGTGTGTCTCATCCGAGGGAGAGAGAGATTAAATTCTTCGCGAGAGCGCGTCCTCGTGGATGCATCTCGGGCATGGTGATTAAATCAAATTGTTGCAATTGAAAAAGAAGCCAAAGAAGCTACAAAGTGCAGATGGGTGGAGTATTTTTGCTCATGGCGAGCATTGTGGCGCGCGGCGAAAAGAGTCTCAGCATCACAGAGAGTGCAAAAATGAGACCAAAATAATGAAAAGCAGTGCATCTCGATATATCTTCTTCATGGATGGCTGAGACCTTCTGTGACTTCCACGTCGACCATCATCAGGGGAGGGTATAGAGTGGCTCTCCTCATCGGTTGACTTGCTGCTTCTTTGGGCCGCGCGGAGCACCTTACGGAATTGGGAATGTGTGTACCAGGTAATCAAGAACTTCCTCTCTTGTCTCACTCTGCCTGTCTGTGTGTGAATGGAAAATGAGATGACAAGAATCACCGCGCGCGCGATCATCTCCTTTTGAGAATCTCTGCCTATATTTTCCTGCCGATGCCACAGATGGCTCAAGTCTTAAGGAAAAATTCCTCTTCATCGCGCGCATCTCTTGTGGTGTCTCACAAATATACACATTTTTATTTTTATCTCTTCCTCCTCTTAAATATATTTTTCTCCTCCCTTCAAGTTCGACGCACATAACAAAACTCTTCTGGCTATATTTGTATTCTGCCGTGTAAATTGAGTAGTAGTTATCGCTACCTTGTCTATATATAGAGCGCTCTTCTGTGTACCTTCAACTATTTCAATATTGGAGAATTTATGCGTTGGACTCTCTCTTTCTCTCTCTCCCTGACTTTACAATCTTTTGCATCAACTTTAGCAACAATTTTCGCAAAGAGCGAGAGAAACGATCAAGTCCGTTCGTTCAACTTTTACTGACGTGCGCGCAGAACACATAAGACACTTTACAATTTTAATTTTAGAATCCAGCACATTTTCTACAGCGAAAAAAAGCAGAGAGTCCCATGACAGATAACACACGGAGAAAAAGATGAGCGAGACATTAATTTAATTAACGGATAAATCAACCCCGCGCATTAGACATGAGAACCGCTTTGGCAGGTTCGTCGCCTGCTGCATTGATGTCTTTCGTGTCTATGGCGTCGTGTGTGTGCGCGAAATTTCGCCAGGGAATCTTAATGCATCCGTATCAATTCGATGATGAGGGAATTCTTGACATTTTTCCACCTCATCTGGGTCAGCATCATTACACCCATCAGCGTGATCGTGACACGGCGTGTTATGAAATTGTTAGACATTATCGCGCACCTCTAATCACCGATATCGGGGGGGAATTTGCGAGGGGCCGCTCTCGGGAGTGACATGAAATATTGCGCGATATGTAATGCGGAAATGTTGAGGATTATTGTGAGATAATTGAGGCGTGTGATCGTGAGAAAGAGGCGGAAATGATATGGAGCCTTGACCTCATCTCCCAACCACTTCATATTCCATCCTCATCGTCTCTCTTCTCACCTTTCTCTGCATGTGGGTGGTTCGCGAGAGTCTTGCCCCAATGATTCAGCAATGCAAAGCTCCTTCCCTGCAATCTCTGCGCCGATCCTCGCTCTCTGCAAATTTTCTCAAAGCACCAGCAGATCGATGGTTTGGTTAATATTTCAGAACACAAAGTCACCAGCAAAATATCGCGGCCAGAGTTTCACTTGTCATATTTCAAGCACCAGAGATATTTTCACTTTTCCCCGGTTATCACAGAAATGTAGCTAATGTAGGCCTGGCGTCGTGTCACAGTGGCAAATGTGCGGGATTGTGGGGAAGACAACGAGAGGCACATTCAGTGGCTGCATTGAAAATTGAACTCCTCATATGCCAGCCACCTGGGAGAGAGAGCAATACACTGACAAAACAAGAAACACCACCAACAGAACTGTTATTTGGCTAACGGTTTGCGCTGCTCACACTCAAGAAATTCCATGATAATTCGATCGACTCTTGGCTTCGTTGCTTTCTTTCAATTGCGATCAACACACGGCAAAATCTCTTCTCAAGATCGTTGAGCAAAGCTCAACTGTGCTTCTTCTCTCCTCTGCGCCTTTTTCTCCCGCGTGTGTGTTCTTTCACCAATTTTTCGACCACTCAATGAATGACATGGATTCCCGCGGCAGAGATCACTCGGGGAGGGAGAGATTCACTGATGCCCTGGACCTCTGTCGTGAGATGCAATCATTCTGTCTCTCCGCACGATCGTCAGGTGGACAATTCGCGGGAATGCTTAGGCACTTGTCCACCAGCGAACATCAACTAAGGCGCCAAGTGTGCAATATTTCTCGGCTGGTGCTGAAATCGGGGCTGAAGAGCGCCACAAAGTGGGAAGTTGTGTGGTGGAAGAGGTAAAAAAGAAGTCTGTGTGCGCGCGATCGCGAGAGAGAAGCGGCGAAAGACCTTGACACTGAAGATGTTAGAATCACACTGAACCGCCGTGCAACCTGTGGAGCTCCTCAACTCCAATTTTCCACCGCCGAGAGTGAGATGGGAGGCACTCGCGTCATCCCGCTCTGGCGCACAATTCGAGCGCACGGAGACGAAGAGGAGCAAGATTGCTGGGGCATTTGGATGCTCTTCTTCCACAGCTGCGATCATATGGCAGCGATCGCGCGATGGGAGATGAAGATGGGGAAGAGCATCGGATTCCTGACCAATGTCGCGACTCACGACACCACCGAGAAGTGATTTGATGGCAAAAACCTCTGTCATCAGTTGCAAATTGATCTCAAGGCGTCGATCGAGTGATCTTCTGTGTTTGCCTTCATCTCAAATTCCACCCAATTTGTCGCTCATTTGCCACTGTCTCTCGTGGTATTTTCCATGTTACATATATACTAAAAATGTTTTATCACAATTCCCCATGCCATTATCTTGTCAGCGTGTGTGCACCGTTGAGTACAGTGGCCTCAAATGCTCGGACTCTCTCATGTTGTGGCATTTGTTGTGTGGCAAAAGAGGAGCACCGCGATATTTCACAATTGCAATTAAAATATTTTTCGGTGTGTTGCTCCAGATGTAAGTGTCACGATTGCATGTCAACAGGAGGGGAAAATTATGATATTAAATGTCGATCCGTCCATCAACACTACGGCGATGATGGCCTGCGGAGGAACGGCGAAAAATTCAAGAGAATCAATTTATTTTGATTCCAATTTGTTGCTGAGATGGTGATTAAATTCATTGAGATCACACGAATGCGGGGAGAAGATAGATGTCGAGATTACTTCCTTCAGGCACACTCGAGAGATTCCTTTTTTCCCCATAAATAATTCTAGATCACACTCGAAGCTTTCGGCATCGCGGAAAGCTCTGCACGATGTCTCGTGTTGTTGTCTCACTCACCGCGCGAGAGCCGCAATGTTTGATGAAAAGCCACTCGGAATCAAAAGAAAACACCTGTTGTGTAACAACTATTTGTAATTTCGCTCTCTCGTGATCTTTCTCTCGAGCATTTCTTTTTTACTGCCACCTTTTCATCAATTCTCTCTCTCTCTCTCGCTCGCTCTGTCTCTCTGTGTTACAACACAAATGCATGCTGAAGAAGTCTTTAAACTATAATGGTGTGTGAAGAAATTAACGTATATGATGTACGAAATAACTGTAATTTTCGTCACAGCCAGAACCCAGAGAAGAGGCAGACAAAAAAGAGAGGAAGAAATGTACATAAATTAAGAGAGCTTGCATGAAAATCTCAGTGGCCACCAAAAATTAAGAGTGAAGAATGGCCAATTTGGTGATTTTCATTTATCCCATCACCTGGGCCTTTCTTCCTGCCTCATAACTTCTCACCACATTCTCTGGCTGGCCGAACAGCAGCGATAAAAGGTGAATGGCGTAAAAGAACAGTTGCCAGAATGATTCTTGAGGCCGCTTTTTCTTCATCCTCTTCCCAAGAAGAATAGCATTTTTGTGCGGATTAGCTCGTTCCAATGAGTGTTAATCAATTTCGATGAAGAGACAACACTCCTCAAGGAAGATCACCGAAGAGATCAATAGAGAGATCATGCGAGATCACCAGAAACCGCCTCGATGTATGCAAAACACGCGGAGAGCTTTCACAAAAGCTTCCAATGAAAATAACACCTTTTTCTTATCAAAATAAATTATTCATCTTGTCATTTAATTACTCAAAAACAAACCCTACAACTTACAGTATAAATTCTTAAAACCATTTAGCCTAGAATACATTTATTTACAAACTCTCCAGTATTGCGCTTGTTCTCCTTCAGCGAGAGGGTTGGATTTTGAAAGATGCACACGCACATTGTGGTCGAGCGAAGTGTGAACAAATTCGAGGTTGAAATTTGTTTACGAGAGCAAGGTCCTCGCGAGAGTTTGGAAATCATCACATTTTGTAGTCCTTTCCCATGACTTTCTCAATCCACGGCACAAATTTCTGTATGTTGGTGTAGACGCCGGGCAGGTGCTCGCGCCCACAGCCAATTCCCCACGATACAAGGCCGATGAGTGTCTTGCGACCCTCCAGACTCAGCGTCAGCGGTCCACCGCTGTCACCTGAATGCACACACAATTGAGTTATTGCCCAAAATTCTCTGGGATGATGTCCCAAAACACTCACCTTGACACGAGTCTCTGCCGCCCTGCGAGAGACAATCGAAAAGCATTAGCATAGTGTAGAAATTGGGAGTGTCATGTTTACACGTACTTCTTTGTATCCCGCGCAGAGGAAGACATCGTGGATTGTCTCCCGTCGTCCGGCAGCTCGAAACCATCTTTGGCATCGCTCATTTGGTATGACCTCCACGTCCACCTCCTGCAGGACCGATGGAACTGTGCTCTGGCCGTGTCTGGTGCGTCCCCAGCCCGCCACAGTGGCCATCCTGCCGGTGAGCTTGACCCCCTTGCCGGGCAAGCAGACGGGCAGGATGTGCTGCTTAAACACCACCGGCCGGTCGAGCTTCACGAGCGCCAAGTCGTTCCTGAAGTCCGCCGGAGAGTAGTTGGGATGCACTTCCTTACGCTCAATGCTGTACTCTTCGTGATTGAGACGCTCATCTTGATCACGCACGTCCCACTCACCCAGACGCACCTTGAGATTGGCATTGGGCGTTGTGGCGACACAGTGAGCCGCCGTGACGACCCATCGATTTGACACCAAAGCGCCGCCGCAGCTGAGCTTGCGCGTGAGAAAGCCCGACTTGATCAAGGCCGCCTGCCAGGGATGGGAGCCAAATCCAGTCGAGTGACCCCCGACAATCCGATTGGATCGCATGTAGAGTTCCCCGCAACCTGAGAAGAGGGAGATAAGAAGATCAGATTTAGTGTCTTCGTTTGTGAAGCATTCTTAGCGTGCTGTTGCGGACTACAAAGTGTGAGAGTGCTTGAGTGCTCTTTCTGCCTAAAGTTTGGTGCTGTCTGTGGCTTTCTCAACTCTTGCAGCACCTTGAATCCCATGCACAGCCGACCCATCGTCCTGCATCTGCACGAAGTGCGGCCGATAGGGATCGTCATCGCCAATGGGCGATGCCAGAGCGTCCACGAGGGGATCGTACGGTGACTCATCCGGGATGCCGAAGTGATGATCCGGCACGACACTGGCTGGGCGATTGAACACAGGAAAGCCCAACTGATTGGTCTCGTGCAGCCAATCCTGCGAGGGTCGCGGTGGCGCCGGCCGGTAAGGATATGCTGTGGGCTTCACGTACGATGGCCGCTGAGTCGTGAGTTCGGCGGTTGGATAAAAGCCAAACAATTGTATAATATCACCTGAAATGTGCCTCATTCAAACTCTGCGGTTTTGACGTCGCGATGTCACTTGTGACGGAAAACTCGCGAGAAATGGGTGAATAACTCGATCAGCCACAGCATGAATTTATGTTATATAAAATAGATTTAATGGGTCATTTAGTTTGGACTCTTAAGCTCTTCAAATATCCATTAGATTTCACGCTTTTTAGCTTTTACACCGCAGAAATTAATGAGCCCTCTTTATAAGGATTAATTAAAAATCTGTACTTAATCTCTCTTGCAGAAAGTCCATTTCCTGGCAAGAAAGGTCTCGAGTTATTCGCCCTCTTGACTCGCGAAGTCACCGTGGCGCAGAAACTCAAGTGTAGAACCTTTTCTGAGAGTGACTCATGCCATTAATAGAATATGCAATTATCTTGCCATCGAAAGGGAGTCCCGCGTGCATCATTCTCTGTCTGTTTGTGTCTCATTTCACTCTCCATCGTGTGTATAATATCACGAAAGAAAGGCAAAATGATGTGAGTCAATGTAATGTGTTTTAATTCTGTTGAGTTTTCATGTGGAACGATTTCATTTTCATTTTGTATTTCTCCTCCAGGTGATTCAATTTGTGTGTTTTACTGGGCACAAAAATCTTCTCACAGGTCTTTTCTTCTCCGCGTTGTGTTTAATGGATGTTGATTGCTATTTGGTGTGTGCTTGTCGAGCAAATAAAAGTGACATTCAAATTGTGCTCTGCGCGCGCGAGAGCCAGGAAAAGGGCACACAAGACAGCCCGAAGTAGAGTGGAAATTTATTACTTCTGTGGGCAAAAAAAAGGCACAAAAAATTTACCATGGAAATGAAGATGATTACCACCTTTTGTAGGGCAAGTGAAAATGCGCTGAAATAATCTCATTAAAGCTCTCCATTCAAGCTGCGTCCCGAAGAAGAAAACACTTTCATTGGCAAGCGCAAATGCTCAGCGCGTCGCATCGCGTGCAATTTATTGCACGTATAGAACACAAAAGAATTGTGAAATGCTCCAAAAAAAATTGGTGGAATTCAACACCCACAAAATGGCAACATACAAAGTGTATCATTCGACATGCAGATGAATTATGCCACTCACGAGGCGCACCACAAGTGAGAGCTTTTTGCTAAAGGCAATTTTGTGTAATTTTCCTGTCGCTTTTGTCTTGCCAGACTTTTTTCTTCCGCTCCAGAATTCTTCTCTCTGTGCTGGACTTTTTATTTCCATGATGATGTCACAACACTTTTATCACACATTGAGGTTTTTCTTATATCAGCTGTGTTGGTTGCATGATGATTGCATAGAATTTTGAATAATTTTTAGGGGAAGAAAAAGAAAATTGCATGTGCTTTGTATAATATTTCATGGGTTTTGACTGCGAGGATTATTTCACGTTTCATTCGAAAGTCAAAAAACGTAATTTGTGTGTGAATAGTTTACAACGAAAAAGCGATGTAAACATTTTGAGAAATCATGTCAAATGTCCATCTCTCAATTCTTATGAATATTTCTTTTCTCTCTCTCTTCGAAAACATCTGATTATATGGTGGCGACATGGCAATAAAAAAATGCCTGGCAGAAAGTGATTGAATGGAAAAAGAGTTTTGTATAAATAGAAATACAAAAATTGAGGAGGAAAAGGGGAGGGGAATTAATATTTTCACGCAGTGTTAAGTGAATTCCTTCGCGGCGAATTTGCCATTGACACTTTAGGGAGAGAAAGTTCAATGGGGTTTTTTTTTGTCTTCACCTCTCATTGTTGACTATATTGCATTGACCTTAAAATGAGTTGAACGCATGATGTGGTTGTGTGTGAAATGAAAATTGATAGAGAGTGAATGATGGCGATACTCACTGGCGTTGTGAATGGCTCCGTGCTCGGGATTTGTGGCTGGATGGAGATCTTCGTCGATGCAGCATGACCATATCATTCCACCTGAGCACAAATCCATGGGTTTTCCACCACCCAAAACGCATGATATGGACAGGCCGCACTCGAATTTCTTCCCCTTGTATTTACATGTTTGCGGGATCACTGGAAAAAACGAATGGGAAATTAGATTTTAATTGTCAAATGTCTAGAATTTCGAGGATCGATTGCCAGGTCACTGATTTTACTCTTACTTCTTCCCAACATGTCCATAATATTGGCGGACTCGTAGGAATTGTAATTTGTGGGGTGTTTTCGTGTCAGAGCGTCCAGGAGGAGAAGATCCTGCTCCTGACGCGACGTGGCCACAACTGTGGCACCTTTTATATCCAATAACACACTCATAAACACTACAATTATCACAGCATTCACTTTCAATTGGTGGCATTTTGCCCAAATTCTCCAACTAGTCATTTTACTCCCTTCAATTTCCCTCTTTCACTTCAAATCCAGTCCAAATTTCACTAAATATCAAATGGAAAGATTTTTATACAATAAATCTCTCTCTCGCTCACTCAAAGTGGGAAATTTTTCGTGTGATTTCAAACTCTTTTTCTGCACTCAAAACAACCTATAAAATCTCAAACTTCATCATTGATCATGTTTCTTGGCTTTTTTTTATATCTCTTCTCTTCACATTCCTTTTTCACGATGAACTTCCTTCAGTTGAACTTTCTTGTCGAGGCCGCGCACTGGACCAGATAATTCAAATGAGATATCGCGCGCGATAGAAAAGTAACTCGGATATTCTATTGGTGGTGCAATTAAGCCACGACGAAGAGATGGAGAGAGATGGAGAAGAGCGATTGAAAATGAAGTGGAAATAAGAAATTTTCAATAGATGTGTAACACTTTGTTGGGTGACCCAATTACTTTTCACTGCAGCAATTCAGAATTCTGATCCAAATGCCTTGTTGATTAGCATTTTAAGAGGAGTTTGTGTTTCGTTTGTTCACCTCACGAGAGCCACTGATAAATTCCGCAACGTTTCGTGTACAAGAAATTGTGGCTAAATGGCCTGAAAGATGCGGATTGAGCTGTGCAAAAAGGAACACTTTCGCAGATTGATTTACAACACGGTGGAAAAGCCAATTTTTGCACTATGAATCCGTGAGTGAACCAAAAATTGCCATCACGTCTTGGAGTTTGGTGTGGAACTAAAGGAGAAGAAAGAGGCGCACTATCAAAAGAGAGAAGAAGTTATCCATCGTGCAGTGAAATTTCTTACTTTTTCAATTATTTACCCACTACCTCATTCACCTCTCTCGGCTTCAGTGTTTGTGTTCATTCCTTCACTGTATATTTTACTACACTTCTTGGCGTCTCTCACACACCAATCTCTCTCTCTTTGGGTGCCTTCAGCTCTGGAGTGTCTCCAATTTTTCACGTATAAAAATCCCCCAGAAAACTCCTTCACAATTCTCTCTCACTCTCTCGTCAATGCGTGGTGACTTTGTATTTGTGCACTTGTGTAGAAAAATCCACGCATTGGTGGACAATGAAAGAGAAAGATGGGGAAAAGACGTCGGAGGTTTTCATGTACATAGCAAACATATGCGGTGATTCATTGAGGAGAAAAATGATTGCAAGATAGATTGGAGTAACCAGCATAAAAATTCACAACTCTTCTTTCTTCATCTTCTTGTGAATCATTTTTTTTTCGCGAATGAGAACCAAAAGTCTGCACAGGGTGATCTGAGAGGCGAGATTGTGTGGCGAACGGAGAGTGAAGGTTTTTTGGAAAAATGCAAATACGCAGCGGAAGTTGAGGAGGAGGGAAGAAAAAAGATGAAGAACCCCACAATTATTTCACTCTTTTTTGCATTGTTTAACGTGGTGAAAGTATATAAGCTCGTGCTTTGTATATAAAATACAACAAAGTGACACTGTGAAGACAAAATAGACTGAGCTAAAATCTTATGGAAATTTATGAGCAGTTGCGAAAGATTGTTGAGATACATTTTAAAAGTCAAAAACGATTAAATTCTCTCGTTTGTACACCCCTCGAATGATGGAAAATCTCACTTTTTCTCTCACTGTGTAAACATAATCAGCTGATATTCAAAGACAATTCGCGATCGTTTCTTTATCATTGTTGACACACTCAATATTCACGCATAAGTGTCATGTTAATTGCCTTTCCATTCTCGCACATTGACTTTCATTTTGCTTCAAATTGTGTAATTAAGTGATTTGTTTGCAGAAGGAGCTTGAAAACACTCTGTGAAATGATGCACGCACTCAGAATTCTCTCATGAGTGGCGCGTATTGGATTACAAGAAAAATATTTTCATTCCACACTTCTCACCACTTGGCGGCTGAGCACTCACTGAAGACGTGAGGCTCAAAATTGAATTACACATGTGTTACAATTCTTCTGAGATGGAGTGAGACACATTTGGGAAGGTGAGAGAGCCCTCTTGAGGCGCCGAAGACACCATCAGCGTGTTGACCCAATTTGCCGCCAAGTGGGAAAATCAGTGACCAAATCCGGGTGATGACGAAATTGTGTCTTTCGTCATGTGTTTAAGGGAAATTGCAGAATGTCAGGAAAGTTATTTGCAACTTACATTCGAAGTCGTCGAAAAATTTGGCTTCTTTGGGCATTTGATGCGCAATTGAGTTCCTCAGTGAGTAGCTGATGACGCGATTGTAGCCCTCATTCTCCTGACCATTGGTGATGAACAGGAAGTCCGTCCAGATGGCGATCAGGATAAGCGGCAGCGAATGCATTTTGCCACGCAAAGGTGCCATTAAGAGCGGAATATGTCTCACGGTGTCATGGCATTGAAGGCACTTCCTCGCTGACAGAGATGTCCATAAGAGAGAATTCACTTTCACACAAATCACAAAAACGGCCACAATAACATCTCTCTGGCGAGTATCTGGGCGATGGCGGATGGTGGGTGAAATGTCCACGCCGCGGTCTATTGTTGATTGTTTGGCGAGAGCGCGAAAATGTGCGCGGCGACGAGGAAAGACTCGCCAGAGACACTGACCTTCGATATTTCCAGCTTTCTTTCGCCACTCTTGCGCTGTGCGTGCCGAGAAGCTCACGCGGAGGCTGCGAGGACGTCGCAGTGGTGATCCTGAAGCTCCCAAAGTGCGATTGAGCGCGTGGTTCAGTGGAGTTGTGGCTCCATTTTCGATGGTGTTCGGGTGGAGACTAATTTTGACCGAAAGCCTGCAGCGCAGAGAGTCAACGCAATTGGAAAGTAGCCGGCGCTCGTGAGTCAAATGAAAATACAAAATGTGTACGTAAAAGAAGTGCTGAAGACTGGATTATTTATCTCATTCAGGTGCTGGCGTCTCTCTTTTCACTTCTTGTGATCTCCATAAAATTGTGAGTGGCCACGAAATACAACGCAGACACACATTTTGGTTACTCAACAGTTTTTCGCCACCGCGCGCGCTCGACGCCGCGGTTTCCCTCCGTCGAGGAATAAAGCACACGACTGCGGAGGATGGAATGATATTCATGGTCAAGGTGCAAAGATGATCAGTGAAAGTTTTTTTTCCTCTTCTTCATTTCGCGCATCTCGCGGCCGCGGGCGAAATGTCTCAATTATGAATATATTTGAATAGCATCACGAATCGCAGTGCTGGGTGTGAGCGAAAGAGAAAAGAATGGCTAATAGATGCTGGCGACTCTGCACGGTTGCTTGGGAAAGTCTGGGTCTGCATTTCACGGGGTGTTTACCATATCGCTCTCTCTCCCTCTCTCGCCAGAGAGCATATAATTCACGGTTTCCGGAGGAAAATCACTGGAATTTCGCGATCTGTGCCTTCGGCTCAATCGATTGGCTAATTGAGGCGGTGAATTTGGCAAAGTGGATCACTGAGCAAACACTTTCTTCCTTTCTTCTGCGCGTGAGAAGCCAGATTTATTGCCCAGATGATTGACCATAGAAAATCACCAGCGGGAATTCCCGCGCGCGCGCGAGAAGCGCACTCTCGCGGCGCCGCGATGCAGGCAGATTAGGATCGCTTGATCATCTCTTGAATCCACTTGGAAGTCTTCATCACGTTGTGATAGATTCCGGGCTGCTTCTCCACGCCACAGCCGAAGCCGGCGCTCGTGATGCCCACCAGGTAGTGACGCTCCTTGATCCTTGACGCATATGTGACCATCGAGATGACCGGCGCACAGCATCTCGTTGAAGAGCTCAACATTGATGTTCTTGCTCTCATGCCACGCCACACATTCTGACAGACTGATGATGGGCACTGAGGCTGTCCTCAGGATACTGGTTCCTGTTCCTGTGCTCGCCTCAGTCTTTCCCCAGCCCGCAATCATGCCATTGACTCCAGTCAGATCCAACTGGCCAACGGGCAAGCAAATCGGCAAGATGTGACTCCTACAAGATGGGAAAACCATCAGAAAATTTCATTGATTATCTACATCATCCCTCTTACTTGTATCCAGCCGGCCGAGAGAGCTTCAAGAGCGCCAAATCGTATCGGTCGGGCTGTGTGACTCTAAATTGGAAGCGCGGATGAATAATCTTCTGCAGCACTTTGTGTCTCTCAGCTGGAAGAGGTTCAGAAACCGTGCCCGAATTTTGAGTGTCCAGCTCTCCCAGGAAGACAATAATATCACGAATCCTCGCCTGTTGAATGCAATGCGCTGCCGTTGCGATAAACCGCCGCGAAACTGTTGGAATGATGTAAAATATTAATCGCATTACATTTCTTTCCAGATAGATGTGCCTGAGAGATAAATGGGTTAAATCGGACGAAAGTTACCGTTTAAGCGCAGTGATATAACACTTTCTTATTAATGATCAAAACGTGTGATTTTTTGCTGTGTTGGGATTTCTTTGTGTTCTTTCTAGGGCTGACACTTACGTAAAACACCTCCGCACTGGTACTCGAGGATTCTAATGTGTGCCTGCCACGGATACTCTGCGAATTGTGCCAATCGTCCGCCTATGATGCGCTTCTGGAGGGTATTTTGGCTGCTTCTCGAGACGCCACACTCGAAGGCGTGCGTCTCCGTGTCGATCCGCCGGCGAAGGAGCGACACTTTGGGGTAGACTTTGGTGGGTTTCGCAGGTCTCACGATGGGCGGCTGGGGCGCCACGATGACCGGCTCGGGATTGTCTGGGATGCAGCAGGAGAAGAGCCAGCGATTCTCACCGCAGCCCTGCGCATGGCGACCGCCCTGGAGCCAGCAGGAGAAGGAGAGCTTGCAGGGCATCACCTGGTTCTGGTGCATGCATTCCGACGGCAGGCCAAAGACGCTATTGATGATGCCTTCGTGGAGAAGGAACAGAAGGTGTGATGATAATGGGGTGTTTTCCATTGAGCAGCAAATGTTGCGTGACAAATACTCACTTGCATTCAATTGATCGGCGGAATTGAGAGCGAGCAGGAGGCAGAGTCTGAAGATGATCACGTGCTTCCATTGTGGCATTATTCAGTGGTGTTGGAGAAATGAGTCCAGAGAGATATTACTGAGGCATTGTGCACTCATTGTGTGCCATCCAAGTTGATATTTTTGCGTGCTTTCGGACAATCTTTATGCCTCTCTTGACACCATCGACGTCATCGTGGGGTTTCAGCTGCCAATTAAGTGAATCTCTCGCGAGATCATCCGAAAAGAGGAGAAACGCTTCACTGTGTGTGTGTTCGACCTCAGGAATATCACGCTTAGAGCCGGACACGGAGTTAACCGTTTTCTGGGCAAATGCTCGTCTTTCTCTCCGTGCAAAACACCTTTGCAAGAGAAGATGTGCGCGATTGACCCAGAGATTTTAAAGTATCCGCAAACAACAAAATTTGCCCTGAATCACTTTTGCTGTGCAGAAGAAATCGCGGGTTTGATGGATTTCTTCTCCCTAATAGAAAAATTGCTGATGATGATTGCTGTTCGTGGACCTTTTTTGTGCAGATGATGCTGGGTGATATTTCGTTGGTGATTCTGTCCTTTTTTCTCAGTCAGACATCATCAAAGTGTGGCCGGAGACAATTTTCTCCATTTGTGTGTTTTTCTCCGTGTCACAGAGAGCCAAGAAGTGGGTTAACAATAATTGCACGAGCGAAGGCAAGAAGATCAAAAAATCCTCTCTTCAACCTCGCGTCTGGTGGATGAGGAGTTTTCTGGATGTGCCGCCGCCGCCGCACTCGAGCGTGACGCCGCGATGCTGAAGAGATCCAGAGATATTTTCTCCTCTGTTCACTGAATTTTGGGTTGTGAAGCAGAAAATCCCGGTTAGAATTCAATTTAGCGTTCAATCACTCCTTGAGTCACAAAGTCAGCCTTTGGCGATGCCGAGTGAGAGTTGAATGGCTGAGAGTGTGAGCTTTTCTACCGTCGAAAAAGTCTCTGCAATCACCGGACAACTTGTTGGCGCCTGAAGTGAAATTGAAAACAATATAAACTCGCGGAGTTGCGCCGATAAGATTGTGTGTGAACGGAGAGGGAAGTGTTGTTTGTAGGCAAAGTGTGCTTGTTTCGAGGTGAAGATCAAGAGCACAACACCTTGTCAGGAGGACAGTTCACCGAAAACTGATCACTTGTGACGTCTAATCCCACTCTCGCGAGTCTTTCTCTCGCGCAGGTGCTGTGATTGGAGTGGAAACGTGTTTTTGTGAACTTCTTCAGCTGAAGAACACTCGCGAGATGATGATGGAACATCTAACTGTTCTTCACGCAACATTTTATCCACTCACGAGATCACCGGATCGTGCCCAGAGGTGTTCTCTCTCGTCATCTTACTTCGCTGTATTCTCTACCATTTGGCCAAATTGCTCTCTCCCGACTCTGCAATTGTGCTGCAAAAATCACTGATCATCCTCACTTGCTCAACATTTCTGCGGGGAATGAAATTAGACCATCTTGTGGCGTATTGAATTGATGAGTAGAGTCAAAACAATCGCGAGGAGAGGAAGAGAAATGCATTCAAATTGAGATCATTGGCAGATTGATGAGGGGAAATTAGGGACAAGATTGTTAGGAAATTTGTTTGGTTTTTCTCGCATCTTTTTTGTATTTTATTTTCGTCGTCTATAAGGTAGAGTAATTACAACAATTAATGACTGGACTGTAATTATTCGATATCAATTAAGGAAGTTTATGTACAAAATATTTTACACACAATTTTCTCTTTCACATTTTGCTTTGTTCTTCCCTCAATTAATAAACATCGAAATTGGAAGAGGAGAAAATTCTTCTTGAGCAATTTTCGTCAATTTGATGGAAATCTAAACACTTGAAGGCATTTTTTCTTGAATTTCACAGCGAAAAGGGTGAAATTGGTAACAAATTAAATTGGAGGTTTATATTTCTTTTGCGGTGAAATCATTTTCATCGATAATCTCCTCAATTTGTGTTTGCTTTTTTGCCTTCACTTTTTTTTCTTGATTGGATTCTTCGTCTTACATGTTAGAGAGTTTCTTTTAAAATTATTTACAAACATGATAATTAACATTAATAAATTATATACACAACCATTTGTTCAGTTTCACAGAAACATATCCCAGAATGGTCGCCATCATCTCCGGAACATCAATTTTCACCTAAATTTCCCATTTCATTCTCTCTCTCTTTCATTTTGATATCACATAGTAAGAATTGATTAATTATTCGTGCGCCAGTTTGACAATTGCATTGGCCTCACGATCTATCCATGAAAGTATACTTCTTCAGGGGTTTTAATGCCATTTTTCTAGTCAGGAAAAAATTCTTCACCTTCTTTTCTTTGCTTTATCACAACACAAAAGGCTCTTTTTTCTCTCTTTTTTTCTTGCATTTTCTCCATCATCCCCTAAAGATACCCATGTTTTTCCGCGTCATTAAAGGATTTTCTCGTTGTTGAAAATGGTTCTAATTAATGTAAATGTAGCTGTGAAAAGAGTCCCCAAAAAAAAACTCTCTGCAAATGTAAGTTGATTGCAGAAAGAGTCCCCAAAAGTGCAACAAAAATGATATTTGGTGCGTCGCGGTGTTTTTTTTTCTCTTTTAAGTCTCTTTCTCTTTCCGATGACTCGTCGGCTCTACATTGTGTCATTTCTTACAAGTTGCTTACGTAGGAGATCCAGTCGACAGTGTAGGCGACTCGATGGTAAATTCCTGGTTGGCCACGATTAGCACAAGAGTACCCTGCTGAGACAATTCCTGCAACATGACACGAATTAGTCACAGATTCGGTGCATTTGTGGTGTGATTTTATACCTATTAAATACCATCGTCCACTCTTTTCGTGCATCAGAGGGCCTCCACTGTCGCCTGAAAGAGCAGAATAAGTTGAAGATGTTGCGCGAAAGTGTGCTACAAATTAGAGATTGTACCTTGACATGAGTCCTTTCCACCCCCTCGATAGCCAGCGCATAGCATTTCGGGATAAATCACGACATTGATGCCATTACTTCGATGCCATCGTTCGCAGACCCTGAAAAAAAACACCAGCAAAGTGAGAAAATTACATAACAAAGTGTTTTGCAATGTGTATATTTTTGTAAGTGAGCTTTTGAGGAAGTTATGTCGAGCAAATTCTTCACTAATTACTTCTTTATCGGCATGAAATGAATCCAAGACGTGTTATATAAAGTTTGCAGTGAAATTTGCATAACAAACCTATTGTCTATAACAGGAACATCAACGGCTTGTAGTGTCTTTGGCCTCAATCGAGATCCTGGATTCAGTGCTCCCCAGCCGGCTGCCCAGCCAAATTTCCCCAGGAAATCCTCATTCTTCTCCGGTAGGCAAATCGGAGCTGCAAAGTGATCAGGAAGTGAATTGTCTGTGCGAGTGGGAAGATTGAGAGGAAACTCACCAATGTGTGGCATATAGTGGACGGGCCGTTCGAGGGTGAGCACTGACACGTCGTATCGATCGGCCTGTGGGGTGAACTTGAAATAGGGATGGACATCGATGCGTCTGACGCCAAAGGTGTAGGCCGGAAGGGGTTCCACGGCCGAATTGATCACATAATCCCCAAGAGTGACATGCACTTGGCGTGGGCTGGCTCGTGCGACACAGTGGCCGGCTGTAACCACGTGTCGGCGTGAAATGAGTGAGCCGCCGCATCTGGAAAGCAGAGACCTGGCGTGGTTATGCACACGTTTCAGGGCACAGAGCGGGAGAGCGAGAGAGAGAGAGAGAGTGGAGGAGAAAAAGCCGGTTAGTACATTATGATAAAGCTGTTAAGATGAATTTTTTGTTGGCACATGGTTAACATGAATTTTATTATTAATAAAGCTGCTTGTGTGATTACTTTCTTCCAGGATATGGTGAATCTGTGTCGTACCTTGAGGAGCCAATTCGAATGTACGCCTGCCATGGAAAGGATCCGAATCCAGCATCATCACCGCCAACAATCCTCCGCTGAGCTGTTTGTTTCGCAATGGAAATTCCACATCCTGACGAGAGAGAGGTGAGTGAGATATGCTCTATCTGAGCCCTTCCCATCCAGAAGGATTCAAGAAGGTGGCATGAGCCATAAGAGCGCAAACTTGTGAGTGCGAGAAAAGCGAACAAGAAATAAAATTATATGCTTTCATGCGAACATTCAAAAACTGTTGTTTAATAATCTCCCAAAGTTAGACTCTCTGGCAAGATGATCTTCAGCAAGCAGAGGAATGGCATGGAGATAGAGAGAGTGAGAGAGAGTGAGAGCAGAGCACCCACAGCAGATGATAGATAAACGTTAGGAGTTGATAACACAGTGTCTCAAACAAAAATCTTCCACAACAAAGTTATAGACCTCGTTTAGTTCACAAATAGTCAATTTCTCATTAAAGCTTTTACTTTGTTTTTAGTCACAAAAAGCATCATGATATTGCCAAAGATTGTATTCCCCTGCAAAAGAGGCGAAGGAGGAATCCTATGAGGGAATTTGAGGGAATGAGGAAGGATTGGAATTCAGGGAAGTTGATGATGAATAAAATGATGAATTTACAGAGATGATGAAGATGAGGAAGAAGTGTGTATTCGTCTTTCAATTTGTATTTGTTCTTTTAGTAAGACTTTGAAGTAGATGATCGAAGTAATAACCATAACGCAAAAAAAAGATGTGAAGTAGTAATTTGGACGAAAGCAAAAGCATGCAGTGTGATGTTGAAATTAAAATGAAACCAGCCACTTTTGACTCTTGTAACATAATCTTCATTTTCGAGTTGCTCGTCTGTTTTAATTAAAAGAAAACCACGACAACACGTTGCAATTTTGTCGTGTGTGTGCTTTCAATTGCAAAATCAACAGACCATAATGATAGAGGATTTGTCATATGAACTTCCGTCTTGTCTTTTTGTCTCGTTTCTTTTTTTTATGTATTGCTATTGGTGGAGAAAAGAATTACCAAACATTTGTCACTGTTTCCTGTCGCAAGTCGGTTTCAAAATTGGCTGGAATTGATGTCTTATGAATGTGACACCCACCCGCCAAATTACAAACTAAAATAATAAAAGGAGCTCATCATGTAACGTCCTCTTTATCAACTAAAGGTGTTTCCTTCTTGAATCCTTCTTCGTCGCCCGCCCCAAGAGAAGAAGTGGCAAGCATACAGGAAGCTGGCGTTATTGAGAGAAATTAAAGCCCAAAGCGCTCTAAAAGGAAGAGATTTTCTCCGAATTGCGCCAAATTTGTCCATGCATGACCCAATTTTTGGCTTTTAAGAGTGAAGAAGAAAGAGGCATTTTAGCGCGATAAAGAATTCAAATTACTGCTTCTGTCTGACATTCGAGTGTATATTTTCACTAAAGAATTTTCCCTCGACGAAGACAATGGGTAATTTGCAGTGGTTAAGTGAAATGAGTATATAAAATCATCCATTAACATTGTGAGATTTCTTCAGCGAGAGCGCAAAACACACTCCAAAGAATCTAAATTGTGAACGACTGGAAAAATGCTCAGAAGTTATTTCAGCGACGCAAAGTGGGTGAAAATGAGAGATTTATTTAACGATCTCGACAACACATGAAAGTGTATAAAATCAAGAATTAATCCATTGACAAAAGGAGAGAAAAAGATGGAAATTTTTTTCTTTCTTTCTTAAATACCCTCCGAAAATAATACACCAAATTTGCATACAATGGCATGAAATTGTCAAAAATTTTGCGGGCAAATTCAATTTTGATTTCTCTTTTTCCCTTTGTAGGTAAATCGACTATTTCCATTATTTGAGTGTTATTCTTCTCTTTTAGTGTCTGTTTCCAATTTTTGTGATGCTGGTTGATGAATTGCATAAATCATGATGAGGCATGTATTTATCACCTTAAGAGTTATGAGTGAAATATTATTAGGTGCCTAATTGTCAAATGGGTATTTCCAACATGGTAAAAGTGAAACTTTCCGTCACGTTTATTGTCGGAAGTTGTCAATAAGATTAGTTAGGTTTGTACCTAACTTATCACCGATTGAGTAACACATGGCACTTTGATATCTTGATTGACAGACCACTGGAGATCAACGGTGAAGAAGCACTCTCAAGATATGATTGATGAGTGAGATGAAAACTCCCCGCCACGTGTCAAAAGGAGGCGTTCGTGTGTCTTATGCACTTTTTCCCAAACAATTGATCGTCTCAATATATCATCTTGTGCGCTCGTGATCATCTTCGAGAGAGACGTGCACTTTTCGACGCCAAGGCGCATTGAAACAATGAGGCGTTACATGACAATATGGATATAATTTTTCCCTTCAATTCTGCGGCGAAGTCCTCTCTCTCCATTGTCTCATCACCTTTTGTCAACAAGCCACATATTGCGGGTGGGTGAACAATTCATTCTCCGTATGTCTTCTGTCACGTGAAAGAGTCTCTTATTATTATTTTCCTCTTGTCATGTCTTGATGATGTTAGCGAGCCAAAAAGGTGGGAGAAAGTAGTGTGTTTCAAAATATGTCAATTAAAAAATGGTCTCTCGGTATCGCAAGAGAGGTGTAAAAAAAAGTTCATCGCAAAACACAATAAAAAAAAACAGAACAAATTGATAAGAGAGGATGTTTAAGTGTGAGAATGCGGGATGAAAACTCACTGGGGTCGTTGATAACAGGTCCATAATCTTTGTTTGGAAGATCCGTCAGATCGACGGTATTGCTGAGGTCGCCGGCCGTGCCGAGATTGGCCGACTTGGCCGTCCTGTGGCAGCAGCCGCGCAAGAGGCCACCGCAGGCGCCATGCAGGAGGCCACCCGACATCCAGCACAGCAAGAAAAACTCACATGTGCCCCCTTCGTGTTGGCAATGTATATCTGACGTGACGCCCTCACCGGCTTTTGCATCACATTGTGGGTTTTATCAGTGAGCGTGCGTGCGAAAGATACAAGAATTTCTCTCATTTATTCACTGGGCATTTTTAAAAAGACGAATCACAATATGCTTTCCCTGTTCTTGACCGTTTTTCTCAGACCTAAATGACAGAATCACGATCGCGAGCGCGCCAAGCTTTTTCCCCACAACTTTGATCTCTATTAAATGTGCTTTTCGTGATCATTTGCCTGGCATTAGCTATTGATTCGTGATTTTCCAATGATCTCCTCTTCAAACTCTCTCATTTCTTCTTCTTCTTCTTTTCCCCCGAAATTTCCGCCAATTTTCGCCACAAGAAGAGTTGTGTATCAAAGAAGGAAGGAGATTTTAATTGGCCTTATTTCTCCCTATTAAAAAATACCTTAAAAAAAATTGTGCAACAATCATCTATATAACCACGTCACGTTAAATAATAACAACAATTTCAACTATTAACTGATAGTGCATGTCTTCAGCAGCACATTCTCCCCCAAATTGCTGTATCATCAGCCACGCAATTTTGCAGATATTGCCACTAGTCTTCATCAATTGAGCCACTGTTTCATTACCCCTGATTATTATTGAAATTTGCCATGCACTATCATTAGGCGATCGTATCACATTTCGCATTCAGCGAAAATCAAAGTCAAGCTCTTCGTTTTTGAATTTTTCTCTTTGCAATTTGACTTTCAGATCCCTTCCATCGAGCACTCGTGGAAAAAAATGGAAAGGTTAAAGATCGTTAATTAAACCTGAGCGATTGGATTGGTAAAGAGCGAAGAAATTCAGAGAAATGGCGAGAAGAAAATCGAAAGTGAAACTCTTTTTTCGTTTGCTGAGTGCAACAATCGATAGTGCTCAATATCGTGTGTGTGTGTTTTGTGTGTTTGTCTATTCTTCATTTGGGTGCCGCCGTTTTGCCAGCCAAACTGGCAAATTGACTTGGCCAGAGGAACAACTCTTCGGTGGGTTGTCACTCGAAATTGCGTGATTTCTCAGTATGGTGAGCAAGAGTCTGAGTCGAGAGAGATTATATGAGTTGTGGAAGCACGATTAAAAATGCCAATTTGAATTTTTAATGGTGAATGATGGGCAATTAAAGACGGATGTTAAATGCACATTTTTTGTGTGGCTTCGCCATGCGATAGAGACATTGTGGCGGGAGAGATGATGAGCACTAATACTTTTTTTTCTTTTGCTGTCTGACTAATGCACATGTTGTGTAACTTGAATTTGAATTGTTGTTAGTTTTACGCAGGGATTGTTTAGCGCTTTTTTTCCCTTCCGATGAATGAGAAGAAGAATGCTTTCCTACTCTTAATTTCCTTTCATCTCTCATCGCAAAGTCTCTATAAATGAGGTAAATTTTGAGCACCGAAAGATTTGCGTGATTGCTTTTTCTTTGAAAAAAAAAGGCACAGAATCTTGCGTTTTTTTTTTTGAAGGAAGAGGGCGGATATTACTGATCCCTGCGGGAGTGTTAAGGCCCAAAAGATTGTCCCCATGCGTGCAAAAAATGTCTTGATTACCTCGATCGACGTTGCTGGGATCGTCGGCTATGTCTTGGAGATTGAATTCATTGCGAACATCCTGAATGGCCGCCAATTCGTTGAGTCCAAAATTTTGATCACTGCGCAAAGTGGATAAGAAGAAGTTGTTAATTGCACTCAAGTTGAAGCAAGTCCTCCACTCCCTCGGCCACTTCTCGTTTGTTATTCATTTTGAGTCAATGGATGGAGTGAGCAAGAGAGGGACCGGCTTGACTTTCACATTCACTTTCCATATAGTGACGGAGTGGGATTTTTTTTGTGGTGATTTGCTGCTGTATTTTTATCAACTTTGGACTTTACACATGTTGAAAGACAAAAAAAAATAGACGAAGAAATTGAATTTCAAATGCAAACTTGACATTGCGTCTTTTCACTATCAAAATGCAAATGTGCGTCTTTTTTCCATGTGTTACAAAACATCTTCCACAACAATGGCATTTTTCGGGGCAAATTTATTCACTGGTATTCCATAAAATGCATAAGCATTTTATGGTGAGGGAATCATAAATATGTCGCCAGAGCGCGGAGATTTTATCAGCTCCGTGTGACTCCAAGAGAGTCGTGAAGATTTCATTAGGTGCAAAATTACAACTCTTGGCAGCAAAAGACAATGCAATGGATTTCCCAATAGGTGAACTCTTTGGACAGTTTTACTCACCGGAAGACAATGTTATCGTTGGCGTAATTTGACGTTGAGGAGGCGCCCGAGGGGAAAGTGACTCCGTCATTCTGCGGAAAGACCACTCTTGGCGTCCGACTGCGCCAGAACTGCTGCGGCTGCTGCAAGTGCTTGGGCTTCGGCGGCCCCGGGTAGTCGCTGTACTCAACGTATGACTTCGGCGGGAAGAACTGCCGCGGCGGATGGCGGAAGGAGTCATATGTGACGGCGGCCGAGGTGACGGCGTCGAACGCCCGAATGCCGAGCTTCTCGACGCCCCCAAAGTCGCCGTAGGGCCGCTGTGGCATGATGTGTGGCATCGCTTGTGATGGCTGGAGGCCCGTGATGGGCCCACCTGTGGCATCCCCGAACCGCGTCACGTCCTCGTGCGCGAAACTCTGTTGTGGCGCAGGCGAGGAGGATTGCGGGAAGTCCTCGGGAAACGTGAGTCCGCGCGTGTATCGCGCGTCGTGAGCGTGATGATCTTCACTGTATGGTCTCTGGTAGATGCCAATAGACTCGGCGAAGCTGAGGTGATCCTCTCGATATCCCTGCGGGATGAAGAAGTTGTCGTACTTCTGCACAGCTGGGCCGTAATCTGGCACTCCACTCCGCCTCGCGGAGGCTTCTGTCGTGGTCTCCTGCTCATCTTCGGCCTCCCCAGCGTCGAATTTGTCCACTCGTGGCTTCGAGTGATGGTACTCCAGGTGGAGAATGTCACTGGGAGTGGCGGTTGTGGCGTTCGCCGGAGTGTCACCGCTGTGCGGTGTTGGCGGGAAGCGGAAGGAGCCAAAGGAGCCCTGGGGCGTTCCTACGGCGCCCTGGAACACCTCCATGAAGCGTATGTTGTCCACATTCGAGAAGATCTGCTGCGGCGCCAGGAGATTGTGCACCAGCAGCGGTGTCTTGCCCTGCGGCCGGTGCAGTGTCACGCCCACGTGAGACTCCGTGCGGGCGGGTCTGGCCGGGGAGTCGATGGCGTGCGCCAGCAGAATTCCCGCCACAATCGTGAGGAGTCGCCATTTATTGGTTCCGAACATTCTTGCTGGCTAATTTCGCCCGGGTTCGTCGCTTATGCGCGCGTTGATGTCCTCTGATGTCCTCTCCACTCTCCGAAGGGATTTTCTCCGCAGTGCTGTCCAGGGGATGTCTCACTTGGGCCAAATCACCTCAGCTTGGACATACTTCCTCAGGGCGCTTTTGTTGTGACACACCGAGCTTTGCTCACTTGCTAAACTTCACACCACGCTTCGATGTGCGGCGACGTTGGGAATAATAACACATGAATTTCACTTTTAATCTTTCGGCATTTGCATTCGAAATCAGATGGAGAGAATTTCACTTTTTTTTCTTGGCTGTTTACACTATTAATAATCCAATTTGTTGGCTGCTGGTGCTCAGCAAATACGAACCGTGCGTGGTTCCCTCGTCAGGGGCGCGCGCGCGAGGGCCTTTTTTTTCTTTGAGCACCGCCAAGAAACAAGCAATTTCACTTTTAACCGTCGATCTCGTGATGGCTCGGAATTTCCAGGAGCATTTGCCACACTCACGTGGACGCTTTTTTCGCGGGCAGGTTGATTTTCAGTGTGCACAAGATTTCGTAACAATTGACGGCCGATGTCACTTTCACTGGCGGGGTTGAGGATCTTCTTCACTGGGTTACTCGCTCACGATGTGATGCTGCGCACAGGCAATTGGTTGGGTGCTACTTTTTGCTGGATTTATAGCTGCTGGAAGAGAGAACGAAGGCAAAATTACCAGTGTGTCCGAGGGAAAAATCGACTTGTGTGTGCGCGCGAGAGAAAGCAAAAAACTCTTGCGCAGCTCCTTCAATCATGTGCCTTAGATTCACCGATCGACACTGAGGCCAATTAGTCATTCAATGGGACGTCCAAAGAGACTTGCTCTCGAAGATCCAACCTATCGAGGTGATCGACGAGATTGTTGATCTCGACATGTGAATGAGAAATTGACGATGGAGGGAAACCTAAACATTTCTGTGGACTCTTTTCCAATTCTATCAACGTCTCTCAAAAAAAACCAACATATAAATGTGAATTTTTCTTCACCATCGCGTGTGGTTGGAGAATATGAGAAGAATTCTCCAGTGTAAATACGGATGAGTTTTTTGGGAGAAGACAGAAGAAGAGGAAAAAGAAGTAATTTTTGCCTATTCGAGGCACGCAAGACGTCTCATAATGGTTGGCATGAGGAAGATGACAGAGTCAGGAAAGATGATACCGATGGAGGAAAGGAATGGGCGTGATTTCTTTCACTTTCAGTCGCACTTTTGTGTTATCGAGTGGGTGAACGGAGAAATAGTCATCAAAGGGGTATTGATTTCCAACAAATATTGTACATTGAAGCCATGAATGATCACGCAAAGGGTGGGAATTTGGCTGAGATATGCACAAATGCTTTCATAGGTCAGTGTCCGGTATTTTCAGTTGTTTGACCTTGCGAGTTATCATTAGTGAAATCTAACATAAAAACATTACAAACAACAACAATCAACAACAGCTTGAATTTCTCCCTTCTTCTAGTCAATAATGCGAACATCTTGAAGTGGCCAAAAGCAGGATACGAGCTGTGCATTTGTAGTGTTTCCTGGTTATCGCCAACGAGACGGAAGTCACCAGTTGTACACATTTCCCCAACGAGTCATCCGGAAGTCACAATGAAAGGCTCTTTTCTCTCACTCGCTGATTAATTCTTCAATATTTCACAGAAAAATCTCTCTGAAGATCACTCAATAAGTGCTTCACATATTTCTTTGCCATCGTTTTTTTTTTGTTCATCTTGCGCTCTTCTTGGCAAAAATCAAACAATGAACAACTCACCATTTCACCGTGCGCGGATGGCAAAAATAACAATATCGTGTTTTCCTTTGAGTCTCACTCACTTTTTTTTCTTCTTTCTTAGTGAACAATTGCGCGCCTGGAGAAAGAAGTCAGGTGAGATGAACAGGGAGAGAAAGATGGGCGCAGACTCAATTCACACCACCTCCTATTCTAATTTCTTTTTTTCCACTCAATCATCTCGCATGCGGTGATTTATTTCGATGGCTGAGCGTTTGTTCCGTGGAAATCAGTGAAATTCCTGCACAATGCTTGGGAACAATGCAAGAAGTGCGGTTGCATATGAGGAAAAGGCTTTTCCTCTCTCTGGCGATATTTGGCCAACGGAAAATCCCGCTGAATTTCCGGATGTTTGCGCCGAAGATTGTGTGTGGGTTGCGCGAAGAGGTGTAATTTTTCTTCTCTGTGTGTTGTGTGTTTTTTTTGCACAGAGAAAAGCAAAGAGACTTTCTGTGTGTGGCGCAAAAGACACAATAATAATGATCATTTTAAAACGGAGCGACACACTTTCTACCAACAGACAATTTCATTGCGAATGTTACTTGTAAGTTACCAGATTTAACAGACAATTTTTTCCCTTCTTCTCTTCTTCCTTCCTCACTTCTGCTCGTGTTTTCTTCTGCATGGTCTTGTTGATGAATTTTGTTGATTGAAGATTGTCTTTCTCTTTCACTGGATGACTTTCTGCAAGGTCGTTTAAGAGCCCAAGAGTCGAGAGTGGCGCGCGCGCGCAAGAGAGAAAAAAGGCACGACGCGCAACAGAGCTCAAATTAAAACCAGATGAAGGTGAAAAAAAAATCGTCTGTTGGCTCCAATGAAGTGATTCTCAGAGAAATTTTCCTCTGCAAATTGGAGTGAGTCAACCAGATGGACGCGGGGTGCGCGGAGGGACATAAGAAAAATAAGAGATGAAGTAGTTAATGAGATTTACAACACTTCAGAATCCGGTTTAATGGCAAAATGAGAGAATTTATCCTCAGCAAAATAGTGTTGAAAATATGTATCTTTTTCTCTCCACCGCCTCGGTTTTTTTTTCGAGAAAATGTAAACTGCAATCGTAAAATTTTACATGAACAATTTCACTTTACCTCGAGACCAATTTAAATCCACAGTGGCAAAATGCGCGGGAATCCAGATGAGAGAAGAGGTGGTCAGGTGTAGGAATTTGGAAATTGCTCCTCCAGAGAGTGTAAAATCACAATAATATCAGGTGAAACTTAACAAGCGTGTGTGCTTATCACAAATTTTTTTTCACTGATTTCTGTCTCACAATCACTCACTTTTGCGCGGGGAACTTCTGGCCAAAAAGAGAGAGAAGAAAAACCCGATAAGATTCACTGGTTCTCTCGAGAGAGTTTCAATGCACAGACACAGAAAGGACCCGAAAGACAGAAACTACAAATGGATGAGAAAAGACACAAAAAAAGGATTAGAAGCCAGAGCAAAAGGGTCACAAAAGAAAAAAAAAATAAATGAAAACAGGTGAGAAAAATGCAATCAAAGTGACTATACAAATGGGTTGTTTGTACAATTTCTCAAAACTCACGACTCTCTCTCTACCACTGATGCGACCTTCTTGAGTAAAAGCTCAAAGAAGTCTGGTGCTGGCGCTTCGTCTTTTGCCAGCGAAAAGCGAAAGAGTCGATGGAGGTAATTTTTTCGAATGTGTGCATGCCTTTTTTCCCAACTTCTTTCTCTTTCTCACTTCTTCTGCAACGCCAACAACAGCCCGTCTTGGGTGGGGAGGCGCGCAATCCAAGTGGCGAGAGAGTGAAGAAAAAAGAGGTGTATATCGTGAAAGAAAAGTAAAATTCGTTGCTTCCCAACATATATGAAATGCATCAAAAAGCAAAGCTCATAACATGTAAGAAGAAATGAATTTTTTCTTTCTTTCTTCTCTTCTCAAAGGCACTTTGAGTGGGATTTTTGGTAAGGTGAAGAGAAGTCCCAGAGTGATGAATTTTGAGGAGAGCTTCTGGGAGAAGAGATTTTGAAGCTGATTTGAGGGAAATTGAAGCTTTCCTACGGAGAAAAACTCTCATGCAGAAATAATCTCTGCTCTTGGCTATGCTTCAATGGCCTTAACAATTGACTGTGCATTGGAGGATTTTGGAAGACTTAGCAAACATTCCACACTCACAATATCTGTGATTTCTCGATGAGCAATCACTGGGCGCAAGAATCATTATTAATAGGCATTTTAATTTGATTATCCTCTGTAGAGAGTGATTTTGATGGCTTCTTCATCATCTCTCGATGCGAGAAGATCAACATAGAATAGAGTTGTTTACGCTTGGTTTTTTCTTGTCAATTATGTATTGACTGTGGATTCTCGCCAATTGTCTTTTCCCATGCCATTCCCATGACTTCAATCGTTGGCAGATGAAGAGAAAAGATGAACCATGGTGCGGAGATGCATTAATTGGAAGAGAGAAAGACGAGAGAGGGAGAGAAAAAATGGTGTGACGAGAAAATCAATTCAATTGTAATTAATTCACAATAAGTCTCGAAAAACATCACCACACACATTTTCTTCATCTCTCCACCCGTTGAAATTGCAATCATGCAACAATAATTAAGACCAACTATTCAACTTTTCTTCGGTGTCAGTGGAGATGTGATGAAGAAAATGGAAATGGTTTTCTTCTCCACAAATACAACACAACTCTTGGGGCTGTCTTCATTTGCAAATTTCTTTCTTTTGCTGTGCGCGGAGCAAAGAGAGAAGAAAAAAAAGTCGAGAAGGAGTATCAAGTTCACTTTTGGCGCTCAAAGAAATCCACGCTCTATGCACACAATCGAATTATTAAATTGGCAAAATATGGGAGAAGAGAGATGAGAGAAGAAAAGCCCAGGTGGAAAAATAATCCAAGTCGAAGTACAAAAGAGTGTAGAAGAAGATGGAGTATAAAAAAGGCCTCATGTTTTATTCATTGTTATTTCGCCAAGGCAAATATTGGCTACCGAGAAATGGAGACTCTGCGATGTGCGCGCCTTCGAGTATCATCGCCAATTGTTTGACGAACTTTCTTCCAACGGCTGGGCAAAAACGTGTCGTCAAATTGAAGGTTTGATCGCGCGATGGTGATGAGAGACCATCGATGGGATTATGCAATGCGATGAAATCTCCAAATGGGGAAATGAGTGAAGACGTGCGCACGCTTAAAAACATCATTAATTTG